CGCCAGGCCCTGGAATGGGCTGTGAGGAGACCCCGCCCAGATCCCGAGAGCTTGTGCAGGGCAGAAAAGGCTGCGGGAGCTCCGGTGCCCTGGGAGCTGCAGCAGAATGCAGAGGGAAGGGGAGCCGTGGTGGGGCGGCGGCTGAGCCCGGGATTAGACTGCACCTGCCTGAAGAGGGAGTAGGAAAGAAAGAAAGAAAGGAAGGAGGGAGGGGTGAGCAGGCGTGCGGGACGCGTCGGTACCGCGGTCGCGGATGTGGCGGGGAGTGGTGCCACGCCGTGGGATTTTTGGTGTGTGGTTTGGTGTTTTGGTGTTTTGTTTGGTAATTTTTTTCCTCTGTTTAGGAATGCTCTCTAGGTGAGACAACGGACAGCTGGCATCTGATTGGAAAATACCTGTTGAAATGCTGCCAGGGAACAGCTTTGCGGTGAAAGGATTCCTCCTGCGGCGCTTCCACCGGGGAAGGACCGCGCGGCGGCTCTCGCTCCCGTTCCTTACCTGTTGGCTGCAGCTCCGCTCCCTGTGCCGGCCCCGGAGACAGCGGCCTCCCTGGTGTCATACCCGCGGCTGCTGTCGCTGGAGAAGCCTGTTACCAGCCTTGTAAAAGGTCACCAGCGAGGTCTCTACACGGTGTCGCTGGCGCGTGGCGCCCAAAGATGCCGAAGTCTGCAGGTTTGCGCTTCGGAGCATTCCGTGCACGGGTGTTGGTGAACGGGGAGCTGCACGAGGGAGAAGGAGGACACACGGGAGAGATTCGATTCATTTCGCCGTTCTCGGCTTCCCTGTTGCCTTCTGGAGCGCGTTGTCCCGCAGAGTCACCTGCAGGCAAAGCAAACCGCAGCACCGGGATTGAATCATCCATAAACAAATGTTTGTGATAAAGCCAAAGTCAGTAACTCCACTATTTGGGGAACTGGCATGATAATAAAATATTTGAAGTTCCAAAAGTCAATATTTTCTAAAGCAAATGAGTCGGAAAGGCATTCAGATGAAGGCCTGAATGGCTTGATAGGAAGTTTTTTAAGTGTATGTACCAAATGCTGTTCCAGAGTAGATCATTTAACAGCAGGCTCAATTGCTCAAGTAATATTCCAATTGTTCTTTGACAATGTTTTGATAAACATTGATAAATTGATAAAATTTTTATCAGCCAGCAAGCAAATTTTGTTAATTTGATTGGTATGTAATACTGCTGCTGTTGATTAGGCATTAATAACTAACTGCAATTAGCAAAGCTGGAGGAAACTTTGTTTCTTACCAGAGAAACTGGAAGTTCACCTTTAGATCAGTTTCAGTTCTGCAAACTGCACCTTGGATAGTAATCTCTTTTTCTGACAAAAGATGTTGAGTCACACACAAGGCCAAAACAAACTGTTCTCTAGAGCTTGGTATATGACAATTAGAATTACAGAAGGCAAGCCTTTAAGGAGAGAGGAGGATTCTGAGAAGAAATAGAGATGGCTAAGGATTCTGTAGTTAAGGCAATAGGAGGAGTTTTAATAAAATTTCTCCAGTTGACTTTAATAAAATCCGCTGCTTTCACTTGATAAAATGGAAAAGGTGTTAGGCCTGTGGATTTCGTGTGCCTTTACTGAATCACTGTTGTGAGATCCTGGATCCTAATCTCACTGAATTATTGATATGGGTCAGAACCAACTCACTGAGAGTGTGTGTGTGCATGTGGGGAAGGGCTGGGCCTGGACCTGCAGATCCCTGGTAAGGCCTGCGCATCAGGCCTGTGCTGAGGGTACAGGGCAAAGCTGGAAGGCAAGGCCTGCAGCCCGTGCAGAGCACATGGCATCACTGAAGGCCCTGCAGTTGGGCTGTCAGTCAAGGCAGACCTGCCTGGTAGCCTGTCCACACTACACCCCTGCAGCCTGTGACTGGCCACAGCAAAACTCACTCTAGCCTGGAAGGCACTGACTGGATATCCTGCCTGGGAGGGAAAACTGAACTCTATAAATACTCCATATGGTCTCTCCCTCCCTCCCTCTGGTCTCTCCTGCAGCCTGTACCATGTGAGTTGGTAACAATTTCTTTCCTCTTCTCCTCCTTCTCTCTTCTCCCTCTCCAGCTGGCACCACATGAATCACTGAATCTTGTCAGAAACTATTCTCCACTCCTTTCTCTCTCTCCTTTCTTTCTTTATTCTTTCTAATCTGTTCTCTTTTACTCTTTTCCTTCTCTTGTGGGTAACTTAAAACCAATGAACTGCATTTTACTAAAGCTGTTGAATGGATTGTTTAGTGGGTGTTTTCTGTAGAATGGGTCTTTGTGCTGAATGTTTTAGTGATACACTTTTTTTCTTGGTTGTATTTTACTCCTGTAAAAACCTTTTGCCAAATATCCTATTTTTCTCACTAAAATAAAAAGAATTTCTCTCAGAGAAGAGCGTATGACTCTTTCTCTGGATGCTAATTAGAGGTTATAATGAACCAAAAGGCCTTTAAAAACTCTTAAATAAAAATGTAACCACTCTGGTCAGTTTATAGCTTAATCCAGAGTGCAAAAACTTGTTCAGAATTTACACAGAAAATTGGTTAACAATAGCTGAATTTCTAGGATTCTCTCTGCTTAAGAAGATGGCATTTTTTTCAGAAAGCCCTGAAAAGTCAGTGAGCAGTGGATCCTATGTGCACCTTTGGGAAAAGGTACATTTCCATAAAATTAATGTTTGTGCTTTCTTTGAGTGTTGGTCAAAGAGGTCATAATTGGAAAATAAATGTCTTAGAGGATTTTATAAGGTATATATTTGATTAGAAGGTTTCAGTTATGGAATTGAAACAGTTAAACCATGAATTATAGTTGTATTTTAAACTTTTTTATTTTCAGTTTTCTCATCAACTGACAGTGCATAGAAAACCTTTGTTTGCTTCAGAGTAGGACCATAACTGTGAAATGTCCTTTTGTGTATGCTTGGAAAAGTCTCTACAAGGTTGCTGAACTTCAGCCAGCTGTTTGCCATGCTGTATTTATTTGAACCCCCATGGTTAGCAAATAAGCCCACTAATGACAACTCTATCTATCAGCAAGTGCATTACTTTCTCATTGTTCTTTCTGCAGGCTTGCTAGAGTCTTGAAATGCCTCACAGAAGCTCAGAGGCAGGAAAACAACAGTTATTGGAAACTTAAGTAGGAGACAAGCTGAAATGCAAGGTGTACTGCATGTTCTAGAAGTGATAATGTAAGAATGCCTATTTTGATATCCTTAAACAAGCTCCATACATAGAATCAATGGAATTGCTCTAGATAGCTTTTAACAAAGAACAACATCATAAACAGTTTCAAAGGAAACCAGTTTTGTCCATACATACAGAAATAATAACTTGTGAATTATGTGACTCATATCATGGTTTGTCCTTTCTTTTTTTCTTCCCCTACAGGATGATTATACTTAGAAGTTCTGTGTTTGGAACTCTCTGATCCTTTTGTCTGCATCCCCACTAGTGTCTGAATGGGTTCCTTGTTAGTTTTGTGAGCACTATGAGAGAGCAGGTGTACTTCCTGGGTGCCCAAGTCATTTCCTTATACTGAGGAAGACCTAAGGCTTACTGCTGTTTTCCCTCTCTCCTCTATGGCTGTCTGGTTTCTGCTGGAGAGAGACCTTGCAGGTGGGTGGGAATCAAAGCACAGTTCCATAGGTTTTGTATCTGGGTGGTCAGGAGCAGGTGCTGTGTGTACACAGTGAAATGTATTTGCTCCATACTTTAGATCTTGCTTCTGGAAAGTAATCTTGAAGGGTTTTTTTTCCAACTTCCACAGAATATATTATTAATTTGGCGGCTGATTTTTTTTCCTTTTTCCCAGTAAGAATTTTACTATGAAGTGCCTTAATGTTTAGTGATACCCATAACAAGTTTAATGTATTGAGGAATAGTTGACATCCAGGTGGCTCAGCCTGCAAGCTACAAGTTGAAATACAAACTGGGCTCTGGGCGAGAGCACAAGATGAGGCTGTGAACTGCCACTGTTTGGGATAACAAAGGACACGAAGATGGCTTTGTCAGCATTTTGGTAACAAAGGAGATGAAGACAGGTGATGCCAGCAAGGTGGAGGGACATGGAGAGGGGAGGCAGGAGGAGAAGACAGAGAAGGAAGAGCCAGACTGGTGTGTGGGGGAGACTGTGAGGATAAAAAAAAACCCCAGGTGTTCTAGGCTCAGGGCTTGTTCTTGGAGGGACCATCTTGAGTTGTTGTGTTACTGCGCCAGGAATAAATTGCCTTGTGGAATGTCTTAGACTCTGCTGAGGGAAACTTTGGGTTGAACTGGTAAGGAAATATGGTCTGTCTGTGTGTGAGGTATGTAGGGAGTCAAGTGGGATGCCCATCAGCTCTTTGGAGCCACCCACTGTGAAGGGCCTTTGGTCCCAGCAGTGTAAGTCTCTGGTTCTTGTAAGAGTGACCACCAGTGAGTCTCATGAATGATCAGACTGAGAAGTTTTATTAACAAATGAAGCATTAAAAAATGAGAAATGAGAAACTGCTCTCGTTGGAGGAAGTTATCTGTTGACTTAAATCAAAATAGAACTGTGTGAAAAAATCTGAACAGGCTGAGTGGATTGACTAACAACATTCAGTTTGGATAAATGCAGACAATCCAGGCTGAAAGAAAAAATGCTTGTTACACTATTTTTTCCCTGCTTTTTAATATTTCTAAATTCCATATGTCCACTTTGGTGTCATCTCTCTCTAAAGTGGAAAATTACCTATTTAAAATCATCTCTTATCAATGTGGTGATGTACCATGTAAAAAAATATTTTTAATTTTTTCTTTCTTAATTTACATTAGTGATACAGCTTAATTTGGAGTAACTCATCCTTACTGATCACCTCATTCAAGAAGTATGCCAGATGTAGATTTGGATGTTAGAAAAAGTGTTTAAGGGCTAAGGAAAAACTTAAAATTATTGTGGAAAAATGGAGTGGTGTAAAAAATAAGATGCCTAAAATAACACTGAACCAAAAGCATAACAGCTGAATTGAAAAATCAAAATTTATAAAGGGCAATATTTTTTATGTGCCATAACTATGGTTTGGATTTTATTTCTCTGGGAATCTGCTGAGGCTGTTGCAGTATTGCAGAGCAGTGGGTTACTGGTATGAACCCCAAGAACATCTGAATCTGTGGTTAAGTCTGTCACACTTTGTAAGGGATTGTCGGAAAATAAACTTCAGCTCAGTCAGACCCAATACAGGAATATAAGCGTTAATCGGCTAGTCAGAGAAGGAAAAGGGCCACTAAGAAAACATATTTGGATGTATTTGGGAGAAGCTGGGTGCACCACTGCTCCCTGCTGTCCGCTGAGCTATAGTATGTGGTTGCTGCAGCAGAAAAAGGCAGCAGCTAGTCGGGGAAGAAGGCCGGGGAGTCCTAGCACTGTGGGTGACACATCTTTGCGAAGCAGCTCGCTCTCCTTGCTGCCCTCGTTCCCCCGTGGTTCAGGAGCGCTGGGCAGAGCGAAGCCGGCGGAGGCTCCGCTCCGTGAGGCGGGGGCAGAGCGGGACTTCCCGCGGGATCGGGAAGGAGCCGCCCCGCTCTGCGGGACTCGCCCGCCCTTTCGGTTTCGCTTCCACCGGAGCGGGCGGTGCTTCGAGAAACGAAACTCCGTGCGGCGCCAGGCTGGGCTGCACCGCTCCGGCTGCTGGAGCTGCGGGTCCTGGAGCTTCTGCTGCGGCTCGCAGGTAAACGGCGGGGAGGGGGCAGGGGATCCGGCGGGTCCCACCGAGCGGGGCTACTGCACCCGGCGGGAGCGGCGCTGGCCCGAGGCGCTCGGCGGGCGGGAGCCAGAGTTCACCTGGCTGCCCGTCATCGCGGTTTGAAGAGGTATGTTCAAGTGCCGCTAGGCTCCCCTTTCAAGGAAGCGATTCTAATTCTGGAGAAACGTAACTGATTATTCTACCCCCACAGAATTCAGCGAATGTTTCTGTCTTTTTCTGTCAAGAAATCTGCTAAGAAATCTTCTCTAATCGCTAAGTACTCCTCTCTGCTTTCTAAAATTGTTATTCCAAGCAATGACTCTTCAAAAACTGTTGCAGATTAACCATTTGAATTAGACATTCGAATTAATTTTCTATGAACGTTACTGGCACCAGTTTTCTATTTTACATCACAGCAGTGATCTACCAGGAGTAGGGGCTGTCTCTATTCTATGCCTAGAGGCACAGACAAATCTTTGATTGTTACTTTGCAGAATCTATTTGAGATTGCACCAAAATGGATCTTGAATGTATGGAGAAGATCAACCATTACTGTCAAATAAATAAACTTACACTGCTTTATGACACTGCTGCGATGACTGGCCTACCTCATGATCCTGAGTAAGTTCACTATGTATATCAATAACCAGAGGGGCTCTTCTTGTGATGAACAAACTGGACAAAGGTTGCAGTCATAACAGTTAATTTGCTGAAAGAATATATGCAGCAAGAGAGCTGATTGAAACCATAAATTGAGTGGTAGATGCATGGGGAGGACATTGTGTGATAGAGTTTGGGAAGAAAACTGATTTCAAAGATGATAGCTCTTTTTCGTAAGGCAACAACAATGCACTTGTTACTAGTAACTGTATTTCAAGTATGTTATGCATCTGCCATAAAATCTCTCAGGAGGTAGGTTGGTTTGCAGCATGTAGTTCAGTTTATGATCTATGCTAACTTAAGTACTTTGATTTCTCTTTAGTTTTACAAAGCGTTGTTGACCTAACCATAAAGGTTGAGTGTATGTTAATTGATTGTGTACCAATGTGTTTGATGTGTAGTTTGTTTTTGAACATCTGTTCAGAAAAGAGAACAGAAAAGAAAAGGGTCTTTTACCTAAGAAGTTTTGTTTTCCCTTTAAGAGACAATTACAGGTGATGGAACATATTTTATTTTTTAACACAGATATAGTGTTTTGCTATTTTTTTGCTTGCCAAATATAATAGACACTCAAAATCTATAGTGTTTCCTTGTGTGATTTCTTCTTATATTTTTGCTAGTTTGCATGAAGACAAGCCTTATGCTAATAACTGATATGTGTCTTTTAATGTCTTGCATGTTGTAGACACCCAGCACTGTTTACATAGACTTATTCTTAGACCTGACTGTAGTCCCAGAATAAAGAGTATTATCTGTGTCTCAAATGTTAATCAGTTATCTTAATTTTTTTCCCCATGTGGCTCATGTAACTCAAAAAGTAACCCTTATTGCAGTAACGGCCACAGCTTTGGTCACAGAGCTACATTTTTGTGCTTCAAAAGTCACAGCACGTGACTGACAGAATTTATACACATTCCAAATCTGTGCTTTTTCATATTTTTCTGTGTGCTCTGCTACATTCACAAATACAGCTCAGCCCACTGTGTGACAGTGGTATCTAGGAAAATCCTAGATAACCTGGCCTATTCCAAGGATACAGTGTAAAGTGTCTGGCTACAGTGATGCCTGGTGTAAACCTCCTTCAGTGCCCTGGTGATGCTCTTTCCCAGTGCTCTGCCTGCTAATGGGACACACTGGCCACTGCTGGTACTGAGCTGGCTCCCTAACTCTTCAGTGCTGTGTTTTATCTCATGCAGTTGTTTGAGACATGGTGCTGAAATAGCTGGTGCTGTAGCTGCTTCCAGTACAATGTCTGACAGGGTCAGTGCTGAACACAGTTTAAGAAGGTTTAAGAGAACCCAGGATGGCCCAGTCCTGACTGGCTGCAAGCTTTCTTGGGCTGGGAATGCAGTGTGTGTAAAACTAAGCCAGTCCTGCCTAAACCTAGCAAATCTGGGAATTGCTTATTATCTCAGGGTTCATGGTGAATAATTGTGACTGTAATTTTGGAACCAATTCATGTAACGTTCATTCAGCTAATCCTCAACTCAGCTAATGAACTCTTTGGTCATTGACTGCACATTTCTTCAGGATGCTTAAACAAAAGGGTGAATTTTGGATGCAATATAATAACTGAATGCGTGTAGTATTCAGCATTTAGGTATGGGTTGACTAACAAACCCTTTCCTAAAGAATGATCTTTCTTTCATGTGTTTGTTTGTCCATTTGTTTGTTTACTGTTTCCTATGTGTAGAGTATGTGGCACACTATCATGTGCCTTGTCCTACTGTTTACCTCCTTAAGGTTTCTTGTTAAGCCTTGCTTACACAATGAGTGCAAGCACTATTCTGCATCTGCATTTCTTTCCACGCAAACATTTCATTAAAGGGAAATGGAGAATTAAATTTGGGAATAATGGAATAAGTGAATTCCTAAAGTCATTCCACTATTTGAGACAAATTATCCCACGGAGAAGCTTATGGTGTTATACCTGGACTGTTTTGTTGTGTGAATCCATCTTGTTGGCTGTGAGCATCTATATGCTCCACTGCACTCTGAAGACTGACTTACCTTGAGGCTCTAACGGTCCCTTTAACTTGTTGCGAGTTTGTGCTGCTGCCAAAGGCAGAAATCTGGTTGTTTTATCTTCTGTTGCCTTTTGTGCAAAGGCAGTAGCAGAAACATTAGGGAATTTGCAGCTGCAGGACAGGTTGGATCCGGATAAGGACTGATTTATCTGAATCCAACCATTTCTTATTAGGGCACTGTGGGGGATTGACCTCAGGCAGCAGCAAAACTCTCAGCCAGCCACTCAGTCACTTCCCCCCAGTGGGACAGGGAGGAGAATCAGGAAGCTGAGAGGGAGAAAAACTTGTGGATCGAGATAAAGACAGTTTAACAGATGAAGCAGAGCTATATGTGTGACCAAAGCAAAATAAGGAATTTGCTTACTGCTTCCCATCAGCGGGCAGATATTTAGCTCTTTCCATGTAAGTGGGGCATCATGCCCAATGGTTACTTGGGAAGGTAAACACTATAACCTCAAATGTTGCCTCTTCCTCCATCTCCAAGCTTTTATTGCTGAATGTGATGCCATATGGCATGTAATATCCATCTGGTCAGCTGCCTTGGTTGTGTCTTTTCCCAGCTTCTCACACATCCCCCCCACTTACTGGAAGGCCAGAGTGGGGAAAAAAGAAAAAGATCTGGTGCTGTGCAAACACTGTTCAGCAATAGGCAAAACGCTGTTATCAATGTTGTTTTAGTCCCATATCCACAACATACCACCATTCCAGCTGCTCTGAAGAAAGTTAACTCCATCCCAGGCAGATCCACTATAGTTAGTCCTGAGCTTCATCAGACCCCCATTTTGACTCATGGAATTACTGTATGGGAAGCAGCACGTGCACAGTGGTGTGATGGAGGGATGGAGCAGGAAGGGATCAGGAGCTGAGTGTGGAGGGGCATGACTGGATGGTGTTTGGGGTTTTTTTGTTCATTTGTTTGTGGGTTTTGTTTTGGTTTGGTTTTTTTGTTTTGTTTTGTTTTTTCTTTGTTTTGTTTGCATTTTTTTTTTTTTGCTTGTTTGTTTGTTGTTCATGGCTGTCTTTAAATTCATCTCTTGCAAAGCACCAGACACAGTTTTTGCACTTACTAAGTAGTGTACATTACAGGGTATTAAAAGTGAATGTAATGTCACATCTGGTTTCATGAAATCAAGATTAGCTAATCTTTCCTCTCTGTATAGTTTTGCAGTGCTGAGATGTGTCCTGGTGTTAGGGCCTCACAACTTTTCTTGTAAAAATACTGACCTCATGCACTCTCTTGCTTTTAAAAATTTAAATAATTTTGCTTTTAAAAAGCAGCTAAGCAGTTAAACATACTGTTAGAACTAATAAAGTACATGCATTTGTGACTAGGGGGGGAAACACTTTAATATATTTATACTAAAGAATTATGATAACCAGGAGTTGGATATAATAAAAACACAGAAATAGTTCAATACCTCGCAGTATATTATTGTAGATAATAAAACCAAAATTTAATCTGAGAAGGTTATTAAGCATATATGAGGCAAAATGTAACAATGCTTTAGAAAAGTTTCCTTCATTGCAGGTTCACAATTGTGGTCAAACTAAATGATGTGGAATATGGTACGGGCACTGGTAAAAGTAAGAAAGAAGCAAAAAGAGCAGCAGCAAAAAAAACGTGGGAAATGATTGAGAAACAGGTGAGTAAATAGCAGGAGTAAGTTTTGGGGGTTTTTTTTGGCTAGTAAAGTTTTCAGATTAATGTCTCAAAGTAGACTATCAATAAAATGTCATTTTTTTTCTTTAATTCAGAAAAGTTTCCAATTACTTAAGTTATCTTTGTTCTGTCTTATTCAGCACTTTTCTACCTGTTGCCACTGAATTATTTTTCCTATTATTCTACTACAGGGTTGATATGTAGTATTGTGAGTGTTTCCTCCTCTGTTGTTATGGGAGGATGAGGAAATGTATTTGCCTTTGTTAAGCTGCCTTGGTGTATCCAGAGGGGATAGTGGTCCTTTTTCATCTAGGCAACTGTTCAGTAATTCAATGTCCTCAACACATTTGCAGGGCATTGCCCAATATGTCTGTTGCCACTTCACTAATGAAATTGCTTCCTTTCACTTGCTCTGATTCATCCTTATTTCCTTGTCATTATATTCTTTACGTTTTAACTGGTTATATATTCTATCCTTGATTAAGTTGAGGTTTGAATTTTGCTCCCCAATGTTCTGCCAAGTGTTTTGTGATAGCCATTCTTTTCTTTTTGACTCTGAATGCTTCTTAGCACTTTTTGAGAGAAATCTTTCCTTACCTGTTTCCATATGGTTAACACAATTGCAGCATATTTGCTAATATATTAATGATGCTGCTTAATCATGAGACAGCTGAAAAGTCCTGCTTTCTCCTCTTGTGCATGCACAGGAGCATTTACAACCTTTGCTAAATGGCAACATCCTGATGCTATCCCTTCTTCACAGCTCATACCCTGTCTTTTCCTAGAAGAAGTGGGATGAGACATGGTGAGAGGTTGTTAAAGACATAGGTGTAGTACTTGCAAAACTGGATTTACATTTCTTTCAAAAAGTAATATTTTAGGGTTAGGATGTTTGTCCTTGGCCCCAAGGGACTCCATGAATGCCAACCTGGGATTTCTTACGAGTATTTTGAAAAGCTGAGAAACCTCGCAGCTATATTAGATCTTGGGCATTGTTTATCTTAATGTATTTATTAAGCTTAAGTTTTTAAGTTACCTATTTTGTTTGCAGAGTCCTTCAAGTATGGGTGCTGCAGAATCAGCAACAACTCAAACAATCTCATCACCTGAACCAGACAGAGACTATGTCAGTCTACTGAATATTTTTGCACAAAGGACACGGCTACAAGTTGATTATCGTGAAAGAACTCGTACTGGAGATGCCCATGCTCCCATGTAAGATGTACTTTGTCTTCCTACTTCCTTCTAAGACTTTGTTGTATTTACTAATGCTACCATTAGTTGTCTTCAGCCACGTTAGATGAATCTTTAGAAATACAAATTCAGAGCTGGTCTGGAGAGAATCCAGTGGAGGGCCATTAGGGTGGTTAAGGGATTGGAGGATATGCCACAGGAGGAGAGGCTAAGAGGACCGAGTTTGTTTAGCGGGAGAAGAGATTGCATGATGATAAAATGGTAGTCAGTGCTGAAAATCATCAGTTTTCTTGGTTGTAGCTCTGGCAACTTTGTGAACCTCTGGGTGTGTGTCTTGGAGACTTCTAGGAATCAAGTGCCAAGGAGCCTGTTTGTGTCTCTTTGTGTATGTATTGCAGTCAGTGAGTTGTAGAAATGTTCCAGTTAATGACAGGTGCAGGATGATAAAGAATATCTACATATTTTAAGTCTCTTGATAATATCTGCTGGAAAATTTGTCCTCTCTTATCCTGCAAAATCAGCCATTTTAAAACCTAAACTGCAGATAATTTGTGACAGAGAGTGTGTATGATATATTGCTTTGAGAAGCTCAGCCTTAAAAAGTGCTAAATAGTCACTCTCTAAAAGTGAGTTATCTTAAAGGCACATCAAATTAATTGTCTACCATTATTACTTAGATTAAATGTATATTGGGAATACTGTCCTGAAGATGTATATTTCAGGTTGCCATTTTATGATGTCAATTGACTATAGTGTTTAAAATCATTAAATTAAGACTTGTCATATGGGATATAAGACTTGATTCCCTTTTGTATTTGACAGATTTTCTTGTAGCTGTACAATTAGTGGTCAGGTGTATGGAAGGGGCACTGGACCTACTGTAGCTGCTGCAAAACAAGCTGCTGCGAAACAAGCATTTGAGAAGGTAAATAAGAAAGGCTCTCTAACATTATGTGCTATATTTACTCTTAAGACAGAAGTTTAAATCTTGTATCTTTAATCTTTGAACAGATATCCTCATTGTATTTAAAAGCATATTCCATGGATTCCACTAAAGAGGGAAACCACCTATATTTTGGTGTGTTGTCTGGGCTGCAGGATTCTGTTGGTAGAATTTGTTGTGTTTATCTATTCAATTGCTGGATTAAAAAAAATCTAGCAGTTGATATCTCTCTGTATTTCAGAATAGGGTCTTGTATGTTGTCATTCAAGGATCCATACATATTAAAAATTTCTAAATCCTGACTAATATACCAGTTGTCTTCTGTGTGAAGTGCTGTTGAGGTGTCTGGCTATGAACATGAGTCTCTTACTGCCTTCTATTGGATCACAAATCTATTGTGAAATGTGAGAAAAGCAAAAGCAGGAATCAGAATCAACAGGATTTGCCTTCTGTAGTGTTCCAAGGCAGAGTGTAGCGAATCAACTGCTGACATCATCCTCTGGAGAGCAGAGCTGTTGTCTTCATGCTGGCAATTGTTATTTCCACATGTGCAAAAAATTTATCAGAATTCCCATACTGATTCAAACCCACTTCTGAAATGCACAGAATATATGAACTAACTTAAATGAAGTGTAGTTTAACTTGAAGGATGGCAGTGTGGGGGAGGGAAGAAATCTTTTTAAAGCACTTTTTAAATTATTTGGCAGTTACTGTGAATTTTCAATGCTTCTTTTATTGTTGTTTTTAAGTTAACCATGTAATTAATGGCCTGTTATATTTCTAGGATTCTTTCTTAATATTTCCATGTGTTGCAAACTCATGGACCTTTGCATTTTCATCAAAGTCTGAAATTTACTACCTCAAGCAGAACTCCTGTACCAATTAGTGTAAATTTGGGGTGGGTTGCTTTGGTTTGGTTTTAATTTTTATTAATTCTCAGTGATGTCTGTGTAACAAACAAAATGTAACTGGTAAAAAGTAGTAAAAGTCCAATACTCCCAAATTAAAAAAATGGGGTTTGTTTGTTGGCTATCATTGAAACATAAAGCCTGTGTTTTTGTTTCCAAGATACCATGATGGAAAACCATGAAACAAACAAAAAAAATGGTTTGTTTACTTTTTGTCAGGTTATGGTCTGTATCAATTGTAGGTGTTGCTTTTAATGTTACTTTTATGCTCTTAGGACATGGGTGGAGGGAGGAAGTGAAAGAACCTCTAATAAGTGTTTGGGATATTTTTTTTGTTTTGTAGTCAACCTCAATTTAGTTTTACAGACTTTGCAGTGTTTTCATGCTGAAGACATTGAATGTCAATTTGTGCTCAGATTTTCAGTTCTGCTGATTACATTTATCAAAGCCTATGTATATCACATAGGCATATGCATATGCAACAAACAATGAAAACATTTGCTTTTCATCTTTTACTCTTGCCCTGGTTTTAAACAGAATCCAGACTTTACTTCTGTAGATATTTACTTCTGTAAATGTGTCTGTATAGTATGATCACTGTGACAGGGCCCTGTGTTTCCTTTCTCTGGGTGGAAATTGGGTAGATGCCTTTCTTCTTCAGGGCTTTGAATGTTCAGTGCAGTTAAAAACTTCCACTAAGAACCTTGTAATCTTCCCTCTCCGCTCTCTGAATGGCAAGTTTTGCACTAGGGGTTTGCCTATGTGATTTTGTTAGACATTTTTGGCTTTTCTTATTTTCAGGTGGAAACTGAAAAATCTAATGGCAATTCAATACTTAGCATACATAGTAATTCCTCTGAAGTGCCAACTGAGTCTGATTCGAAGTAAGTTGGGTTCACTGCTGATGTGATAACAAAATGTATTTACCAATCATCTTAGAGGGTTGTGTGATCTAATTCCAAATAAAATATGTCATAGTTTGTTTTATTGCAGTATAAAGCCATTTAATTTGAATTTATATTCCTTCAACTTCAGAGCAAAATTTATTGTACTCATGCAATTTTATTTGAGTCCATATGGGTGAGCTTATAATAATTTTAGAGCTTTCTGATATATTTATATTTTGCCATGAGTAGTTCTTTCAGAATAATTTTTACTATGATGTAAATGCATTAACCTACCTCATTCAGTAGCATTATTTCATGCTGTTTTGACACTCATTTTCCTATTGTGACACAATTGTGAACTCAGTATAATTCCATTTCAGTACTTTCCTGTGCTCCATATTCTGCTTTCTTCTCTCCCTTTTTTAGTCGTGGTTTTTTGTGGTTTTTTTTTTTAACTCTTAATTTCCACCGAAGGGAAAAATTTGCTTAGCGAGAGAAAATGAACATACATAAAGTTTCATTTGTGATTTGGGAACCTTAGGTCAAGCCTTCTGTGTCCAGTGGTTTGGCTGTAGTGCCACTACCCCTTCTTTTATGTTCTTTGTACATATCTGATTGCTTTATAGTTGCACAATGTTAGAGGTGGCTGTACTACCTTGAAATAAATATTTGTATTTAACCTATATAATAGAATATAACTTATGGATATTTAGATGTCATAGAATCATATAATGTAGAAATATAGGAGTATATTACAAAGTGGTGTTACTTTAGTAGGTTTCCAGCAGGAAGTTTGGTAGTTTAAATCAGTCATGATTGTTAATACTTTCTTACGTTTCACTTTTAAAAAACTATGTAAATGTTGGTACTACTTCTTTTCTTGTGGCAGTTTTATTTATGATTGTGTTACTTTCACCTAAAAATAGTCCACTATTTTTCAATAAAGCAGTATTTCCTTTGAAGACTCAGCCCCAATGTTGGTAGAAAAAATGAAAGACATGGCAGTATGTGAAAAGCTTTCACCTTCTCAGGTATAGTATGAAAACGGTCTTCCTCCTAATTACATTTTAGACCATGAATAGGGCAAGCTTCTTGTCAGAATGTAATGTCAGTTTGTTCTTTTATCCTTTAATCACTAGAAAACACATCTGCATTTTTCCTAAAAATATTCAGTACATTCTTACTGTTAACCATTAGTCATTTGCTTTTGTACTGTGGACTCAGTTCATGTACTGTTGAAGAAATGGGCAGTACTTCCAAGAAAGAGGATCAAACTAAGCTCAATTTTTTCTGTGGGAACAACGATAAAAGTTATGCATAGCATGTGTGAAAAAGTTAAAGCTGAGATATGGCTTCATTCTTATTACATTGTTTACCTAAGGTATGAACATATTTATAGGCAATTCCTAGATACATTCTCAGACATGTTTTAAGCCAACTGTAGTGAAAATATTCAGGTTATCTCAGTTAGGCTTTTTTCTCTTTTCCATGTAGAGAAATGCACAGAGTTCTGCCCTGAAGTCCAAAAGGTATGTGTTTATTTCTAGGTATGTGTTTATTGCTATCTCCTGTAAACTATATTGCAAATCACTTTAGTGTTTCTGTATCTAGTAAAGAAATGTCACTTTTGGGAGGTACATTTCTCTTCTTGTCACATGATAGAAAAATGGCTCATTATAAATAATTTTTCTTTTATCCTTTTTACAGAAAATTGGCAGCTAATTTTCCTAATGTAAGAAAAGAGGAAGAGAAAAAAAATATGTCAGATTCAGATGAAAGTTTGCCAGATGTGGACACGAATACCAGAAAAGGGAACGGAAATCCACACACTGTTGATAAAACGTAAGAAGGATTTGGTTCTTTAATAATATTTGTATGGCAATTACAGTATGTAGGGATCTAGATTTGTTCCTTTATTTATGAGACAAGGAGGGAAAATACTGCTGTAAAAAGAACTTTCAAAGAAAATTGGTGTTTGATTTTTTTATTTTTTTTTCCCCCCCTGGAAATTTTGAAACTGGCATGTAATGGTATTTAATGCTGATGGCCAAACATCATTTGTATGAAGATGTGAGAGGGTAATTACCCAACATGTTCGCAAGGGTCAGTTTCCCTTGTTTGTTTAATCTTCCAGACTATGATTTAGACCTATAGATTTGTCAAGTGATTCCTGTAGAATGATACATCCTGTAGATGTATTGTATCTGTCAGGATTATTTTTATATCCTGTAAATTTAATATTAAACATAATCGTGCTTTTTTTTTTCTTTAAGATTTCTTGATAATTTTAAAAATATAGAGCCTATTGGTGAAGGTGGTTTTGGGAATGTTTTCAAGGCAACATCAAAGTGCGATAAGACAACCTATGCAATCAAACGAGTTGAATTCACAAAGTACGTACTGTATATTTACTTCTGCTTTTTATTTTAGGACAACCTTAATCAATATTTTAATACTTTATTTTCTCCCTTTAACAATCCTGGGAGCATTTAAGCAATTTTCATTATTAATTGTCTATTCTTCCTGGAAAACTGTTTTCTTTATTTCTAAGTGATGCTGAAAATGGGATACAACTTTGTTAATTTTTGCATGTAATGGGATAATTCTGCTGGAGCTGTAAAACTGTAGATTGGTTAAGTTCTACTTTCCCTGAACACACTAGTGCTCTGGTTGTTAATACTGAAAATGTGTTTGAAGAAAACTTGCTGGTTAGTAAAACATTGAAAACAGCACTGTTATGATATGTTACATGGAAAATTTACACATCGGTAATGCATAACAACTACAATTAGGGAAAATAGAGAAAAATCCAAGTAACAAGTTTTGTGGTTTGTAGTTGGAAAGTGTTTTATATTCTATCCATGTAGTCATTATTCTCACACTGTGTTACTTGTTCTTTATAAATCTCAACAGAGAATGATGATCTTAATTTTTTAAGGTAATTATTTGTTACTAGTATCAAGTGGAATATTTTATCAGCAGCTGAAAAAATCTCTTTTAGGCAATCCACTGAAAAAAATTTCAAGTTGTTGGAGATACTTGTCCTTAAATTGTGTGATGTGTACACTTCCCTTCAGATTCTTGTGTTCTTTGCAAATATATGTTATTTTAATTGGTATTTCAATCCTGAGAACTATACTAAAAACATTCAACTGATTCTTCAAGTGATGACTGCTGGTCTGCTTATGAGTTTGAACTTGCTTCACTAGGTAACGTTACAACAACTACTGCAGGGCTAATTTAGTAATAGTTCTTCATGAGTATTTGTACTGACTTCTCTCTATATAGACAAACTTCATAGAGGTAAAAACAAAACATGGTTGTTTGCTATATTGTGTTTGGTGACCTAATGTTATGCATTGCAACTATCTGCTTTTTTTGAGTGGAGATTTAATTTCTAATATAGTGAAACCATTTTTGCACTTTGAATAACTGAGCAGATGAAAGAAAACCCACTGAATTTCTCACTATGATTTTGAACTTTGAACCTTTGTGAAGGCAAATAATATGCTTTGTTTCTAAATTAATGTAAAACTGTCTGTATACTGCTACTTGATGTCGTGTCTTTTATTTAACTTACTATGACATTGTAATAGAGAAATGCCTTTTTTTTTTTTTTAATTCCTTCCTCTCCTCGTAATAGGAATGTAAGGCGTGAAGCAGAAGGACTGGCAAGACTTACACATGAAAACATAGTGCGGTATCATTGCAGCTGGAAAGGGTATGACCATATAACTAGTCAAGATGCAAGGTAACAACAAAATAGTAGTTTGAACTCACAAACTTGTTTGTCATAGTGAATTTTATGTTGTAAAGTGAAAGGCTGATGATTGGTTACCAGCTATTGTACAAGTATAAATGCATACACATGCTTATATACCTACTGCTAGGAAAAAAGGCACAGTATTTTCCAGCAGCAGGCTGTATAAAATTAAGTATATTTATACCTTCTTTTAATTGATTAATATGATACATTATATAATGTTATATTTCTCTTCTCTCTTAACATATGAAACTTAGTGAATATATAGAGGAGAGTATAGAATGCAGAACTCAAAATTTGGGGCAAGAATTAGCAACAGAAACTAAAAGACTGACAGTTGGCTGCCTAATTCCCAATCAGAAGCTTCCTTTTTGTAATAAGTACTGGTCAGCCAATAGCTCTTATAGATTTAATTATTTCTCTTAAGTTAGCATTTTAGCCATGATGCCTGTAACAATTTTGGTTGTTTAGAACAGAAATACAAAATGAAATGCTCTTTAATTTAGAGGTAGTCTTTCAACACTAAGACTTCTGGGAAGACTGTGGTGAGAGTTTTACTTGTAAATTAGACTATTAACTTTACAAAGCTTCTGTGGGAAGCTTTTTTTCTCTAGCTGTAAATTCATATCCTTCAGATGTGTTGCCATATTTACCTGAAGCCATAAAATATTAATGCATTCAAAATTATGATTGGCATAATGTCTCTCCAGTGTGCTCAGTAAATGAGAAATAAAAGGGAGGAAAAAAGTCTCATGTCAAAACCCAGTCATTAATATATTGGAGCCTCGATATCATGTATGTATTTTACATTGAACGGTTATTGTGTCAAAGACAGAAAAAAATAGTACTCAGAGCTGAGGTCCCAGCCTGGAATTAGTACCCTGACCTCAAGGCTACAGAGTCCTGAGCCACCTAATGTTTGTTCTTTCAGTGCCTCAGGCAGCTATATTCCAGGGTACTCAGACCACACAGTACACACAGGAAGAAGTGGTGCCTGCTCCTCTTCATATTGTCCTTCCCCTTACCAGCTCCAGCCTATCCCATGGGCTGATAGTGAGGGAACTCTTCTGGAAAGTGTGAGGCTGTCAGGGGGTGAATATCTTTCATCTAGATCTCGGAAGGGTTTCTCTAGCAGTCTGATGTCAAAGATGGTCCCGGCACTATGTTCTTGACAGGACAGAGTCGGAAAGAATGTGATCATTCTGGGTAGGAGAGGAAGGCTGGCTGATGCTGTGTTTGTTGTGTGGAATAGAGAATATCTGCCAGGGACTTGCAGCAGTTCCTACACGCCAAGATGGGAGCCAAGGACAGTGCTATTTCTTCCTATATAAGACATGCCTCTAGGTATGAGTGAAATAGAACTTGGGCACTCTGAAAACTTTCAGTGTGAACTAGGAAGCAAGCAAAACATTAGGAGTATTACAGGGATAGGTAGGAACTGAGCAGGGATTCTCTGGTTTGCAGTCCTATTTATTTATATCTAATCCATATTGGTCTAGGGTCTTTTTTAAAATTAAAGGACTTGCAGATTTTGTTTTGGGGAACTCTAAAAAAATTATTAACAAAAAGGCTCTTTTAAAGAAGAGGAATCTGAAGATCACTGATGACTTAGCAACAATTGTATCTTGCCAATTTTAATATGGTACGTAATTTTCTTTTGAAGCCTGAATTCAGACAAAACAACTCGCTGTCTTTTCATCCAAATGGAATTCTGTGAAAAAGGGACCTTGGAAAAGTGGATTGGAGAGAATAGAGAACACCAAAACTATCATGAAATGGCACAAAACAAATTTTTACAAATAATGAAAGGAGTGGAATATATTCATTCTGAAAAGTTAATTCATCGAGACCTCAAGGTAAGTAGGATGAGTAATTAAAAAAAAAACCAAACCTGAAAAAAGAAGATACTACTTATTGGAATTTTAAATGTTAAATTGTTATAGTCTTTGTTCACGCTGTTATGTACCCTAGCAGTGTGCCTCTTCAGATATCACTAGTGATTAATTCTTTTTCAGCAACTGGCTGAACCTCAGCCTAAAATCAAAAGGTAAACTGGAGGATCTTGGAATGCAATAGTTCAAAAAATCAGTAGTCCTCAGTTACCAGGCACTTTCAGTGTGTTACTGGGTCACAAGACTGCCTATGGGAAAAATAAAAGTCTAGGAAGTTTGCTCTTGCCATTTTGTAAAGGGACAGGTTTATCTGTGCTGTGCTCGGTAACAACATACTCTAGTTGCTTTTGTCCATGTATGCATATAAATATTTGAATGCTACAGTTCTGGATAGAATTTCATTCTCTACATGTGCATCTTCATAAGAAGATTTTATTTCAATATAAAGATTATAAAGGACAAAGCCTTCAGGGCTTTAATATGGCATATCCCAGAATCAAAGCTGCAGGATAGGTTCAAGCTGATATTTGTGCCTGGTAGGACATAATTTGTGCCTGGTAGGAAAAGAGCCTTTAAATAGTGTAGCCAGGTATGGGTACTGTATTAAATATGTGTGGGCATGGTTGGACTTGAACAGAACAACTGCATTGGGCATTATTCACACAAAGATTTCTTCCTGTTGAATATTAAGTATCTCCTGGCCTTACGGTCCACTGGAACCTCTTTGAGTAAAAGATAGCATGAGGCTATTTGGTTTTGTTTTAAAACCATTCCGAAGTGTAGTTTCTTATCTTCTTTCGGAAACTTCATTGAAACATATACCGTTCTATTTTTAGTTGTTTATCACTTTGTGGTCTGGTTTAGGCTGGGATGGAGTTAGTATTTTTTCAGTAGGTGGTACAGTGCTGTGTTCTGGAATCAGGATGAGAATAATGTTGATAACCTAGCCAGGACAAGTGACCCAAACCGCCCAACAGGATATTCCACACCATAGAATGCCATGCCAAGTATATAAACTGGGGGAGGTGGAAGAAGGGCTGATCTGGGTTTGTGGAAAGGGTCTGGCATCAGTCAACAGATAGTGAGCAATTGCATTGTGCATCACTTGTTTTTCCTTGTTTTATTTTGGCTTTGTATCCTATTACTATCACTATTATTATTTACTATTATTATTATTATATTTTACGTTTGTTTCCATAATTAAACTGTTCTTAACACAATCTAAAAGCTTTACTTTTGATTCTCTCCCTCATTCCACTGTGGGCATGGGGAGTGAGTGAGCAGCTGCGTGGTGCTTACTTGCCAACTGGGTGTAAGCCATGACGCTTTGTCAAATTTAAAAAAGGGAAGTTCAATGGAAATGTAAAAGTGATACTCCGAGACACCTGTAGTAAGCCTTAACTCTGCAATTGACTTAGTACAGATTATCCTGCTGTGCCTAGGAGAAACCCTGATTTGAGTGGAATTCCATTAGTGAGCCTAAACACTTTTCCAAGTGTATCAAATCCCAGGGCTAGGACTGAAGACTGAAAAGCACTTCTGGATATAAAATGTTATATGCATGATGTATTTGAAGAGCATTAAATGATACTTATGACTGAGCTAGTGGAAAAAAGGGTGCAGGTACTCCAGAATATACTACTTGAAATTTAGTTTGTGGTTTTGAAACTTAATTTAACTTTTTTCTGTTTCCCACCCCATCAGTTTCTTAATGCTGTTTGCTGTGAACAGTTATCAAATTTTATGGGGAACACTTCTGTGGCTGATTATGCTTGATGATAAACCTTGCTCATATGGTGATTTTTTTTTTTTTTAATATTAATATATATAGCCTCTGAATATCTTCATATCACATGATGATAAAATAAAAATAGGTGACTTTGGTCTTGTGACTCCTGTGGCATATGAGACTCTGACTAAGAACATAGGAACAAAATCATATATGGCACCAGAACAGGTAATTATCCTGCTATATTAGTGTCTCTGTAATTAGATTTGAACAATAAATTCAGCACTGGATGTTCTAAATCCTAATCTCAGTATTAAAGCAAGTTGCCTAAAGTTCCCTGGTATGACTGTATATGAGGATAACTGTATTCTGGACAAAGCTGTCTGCCAGTGTGGTAGTGTTTTTTTCTCTGGGCTAACCTACAGTCTGACACTGCATGCTGTAAGGAATGCTTTTGCAAAACCAGGCTGCCAGGCATACGTACTTAAATTTTAATTTAGGACCTCTGTTAACTGTGGCATTTGAGTCCTTCTATTTGTTTCATTATTTGTCACAGGGCAATATTGGCATGCTTTATCTATATAGGTTTGTAGAAGTAAATTTCTGTATGTTTAAGGTGATACAATAGTCACTACTTAGGTCTGTGGCAGCAAGTGTTAATGACTTATAAGGATATTGAGTAGGGCCAGTCCTGTAGCATTGGGGTGGAAATTTCTGCTGACTTCAAATTTTGCTTTAGGAAGTGCTGCTATACAGTTGAATTTGATGCTTTTTTTGTTCTGGTTCTTATCTTTCTAGTTCGGGGACAGATATGGAAAGGAAGTAGATATTTATGCACTGGGACTAATATGGTTTGAAATTCTTTCAGCACTTACTAATCATGAGAAAAATGAGGTATGTAATCTTTAAATTTAAAAAAGAACTCTGATATTGTTTTGCCTTGCTGCTGATTACATGTTGATTGCACACTAGAAGGAATCTGTGTATCTAGAGTCTCCATTTACATTTCCCCCCTTAATTCATTTCCATAAGGCCTGTAAGTCCTCACACCTTAGTTGAAATGTCATAACTGAAGAAATATTACAGTTTATTTCTCCTATGTCCTGTTACCTATACATTAAAGCCTGAGCATGCTAAAGATTAATGTCAAGCTAAAAAATATATTGTTTCTTATAAATCTTTCTGTTTGATCAGAAACTTGAAGCGGATGTTTTCTAATTTTAGAAAATAAAAATTATGAATGGGTGAGTTTTGTCTCTGCCATGCTTGTCTTCACTGCACAGTGGAGTAAGAACAAGGTTTCCACCAAGGCAAAACACTTGCAGTTTTTCAAAATGAAAATGATTTGGAATAAGTAGCTTTAAGTGAAAAAGATGTTACTTCAAAAAGAAACTCAGTGTTACTTAAGCTTTTTTTTTTTGAAAAGGTATCTTTTACGCATCTTGAGCTTTCTATTGCTACTTTGTACATTATTATTGTTACAGCTCATATGCACAAACCTAAATGTTTGTAGGACAGTGATGTAGCTGCTGGGTGTCTTGTCTAAAGTAACAGTGGTCAGAACAAGAAGACTTTGAACACTGTTAGCCGGATCCTTTTACCAGTATGAGAAAATCATACCAGCGTGTCTTTTCAAGCTGGTTCTATTCAGCCACCTTGCAGTACCTCCTAAGATACTTTGTTCCTGCTCACAGCTGACTGCAAATGCATGCACAGTCCCATGGTATTTAGAGTTGGAAAGGCATTATTTATTATTTCCCTAAGTATCAAAATCTTGAGCACTGTAGGCAGGTATGCGGATGGAAAGTCTAGGATGGTCTTCAGCTGCTGCATTACCTTAGAAAGTAATTTCACTTAATGGAGCATGATAAACTTTTAGCTGGCAAGTCCTGCTGAAAGAACATCATGTTGATGATTATTTTGTGTTGAGTAACTGGTTCAGCTGATGATCCCCAGCAGATAGGGTCACAGGCTTAAAGCTACTGCTGAAGAGTAGGGAAAAAGCCTGGAAGTCCATGGGAGCTGTTGTTTTACTGGATACTGGTTATAAGGGCCATAGGATCCATAAGTCTAGCTAATGATTCAGGATGCATAGCTAAGTGTAAGAACAAAACTGTCATCTTCAGGCAGACATTACACTAGTTAACAACAAGTGAATTGAGTAGACTGCTCTTTTTACCCAGGAAGCTACATCATGGCAGAATCACAAAATGGGTAAGGTTGGAAGGGACCATTACAGTTCACCTAGTCCAACCTATCTGCTCAAGCAGGGTCTCCTCCTAGAGCATGTTACTCGGGCTTATGTTCATAATATCTCCAGTGAGGGAGACTCCAGAACCGCTCTGAGTAATCTGTATTGGTGCTTGGTCACCTGCACAGTAAAGAAATTCTTTCCTCATGTTCATGTGGAATTTCCTGTGCATCAGTTTCTGCCTGCTGCCTCTTGTCCTATTGCTCAGCACCACTGAGAAGAAACTGGCTCCATTCTCTTGACACCCTCCCTTTAGATACTTACAGACAGGTCAGCACTCAGCCTGTACTGGTGTCTGGGGTTATTCCTCCCAGGCGCAGAACCCTGAATTTGCCTTTGTTGAATTTTAGAAGGTTCTTCCCTGCCCATCTCTCCAACATGTCAAGGTCCTTCTGAAGGGCTCCACAGCCCTCAGGGGTATTGGCCACTCCCTCCAGCTTTGTGTCATCAGCGACCTTGCCGAGGAGACATCTGCCCCTCCATCCCACTCACTGACGAACAAGTTAAACGATACTGGACCCAGTATCCACTTTTGGGGGACTAGTCCCTGTAGTCCCCCAACTAGACCCTCTGCCACTGTGCACTATACTGTGGAATCTGCTGTTTAGCCAGTTGTAAATCCACCTCACCATCTACTCGTCCCGCCTGCAATTCCCGAGCTTGCCTCTGAGGATGATGGGAGAGACAGAGTCGTACAGGAAAAAAAAAAAGTTACCCAAACCCAGTTTCTAAAGCATGTAATTAGAAATCCTCTACATGTTAGCTGCTTTGAACTCCACATAGCATTTTTGGCAGTGACATACTTCAGTTCAGTGTGTGGTACTGAATATGGAAGCACACCTGCTTGGCTTGCAATCGGTAACATCCAAAGTAGGAAATTCAGTTGCCTTGCTTTTTTCTTTTCTTTCAATGTGGTTAGATGATATAAATCCACTACTTTTAAATTAGGGAAAGAAGGATAATGGTTCTGAAATAGAGAGGACTGCTGAAACAAACACATCATTGTAGAGTGCAAAGCTTTTAAGCTTAGAAAGGAACAAGAGTTGATGAAAAGTCCATAAAACCAAAACAATGTACAACTAAATGGAAGAAACTTTCAAACTGTTTACAGTTACGTTTTGAAGACTTACTTTCTTGTAGATTTGTGGTTTCCTAATTACTTCAGTAAACTATATGGGTCATAAGGTAGACATGTAAAATATAATCAAAGAAAGCATACTAAAACTGTTCTCTTTTATGAATTTCAGGTATGGCCTTCTGTTAGAGAAGGTCATTTTCCAAAGAGTTTCACCAACCAATTTCCACCAAAGGTATGGGATTTTTATATATTATTTTGATTACTTTATTTACTTAAAAAAAAAAATCTATTGACATTTAAATTTTTTTGCAGGCATCCATAATCAAAAAGATGCTTTCAACAGACCCTTCCAAGAGACCCTCTGCAACTCGAATACTTGATCTTGTCAAGTCTGTTGATAAAGAGAAGTCAGTTAAAAATTATACTTGTTAAATGCCCTTTTAAAAGGCTTTCAGACTGTGTTTAAATCCAGAGTTTCATGGATTTATTGAAACTGACAAAATAACAATAGATGTAAGAAGCAACAGCAAGACTTGGGGTATGTCTTCTCCTTGGTGCTTTGCCTTCCTGCCATTGTCGAGTCTGTCAGCTCGAAGGCCACATCACCACTCATGTCCACTGGCTCCAGACCAGGACTGGATACTTCTGCAAGAAATCACTTGCAATTTTTACCTGAAAATACAGGTTGTGGATGAGCTGAACTGTATTCTACAAATAAGTAAAAGAACCTAGTCCTTTTCTGTTAGAAGATTATGTTGATGGGCTTAAGTGCTAACTGGCCTGTGGCAAATCCCTGGATGTGGTGCTGCATCCATTATTCTTTGAGGTTATCTGTTGCTTTCCATGGAAGAAGTGCTGTCTTCTGGTATGTGACTCAAACCTTTCTGATTTTTCAGTGATACTTTTAATAATTACTGGAATGCTCCCATTAAAACTAAGACTAGTTTTGGTAAAAAAGATACTAGGAATAGGCATGGGTTATTCTTCACTGAATTTCAGTACTGTAAGGTGAGCTTTTTTATCTGTTTACATCTGTTGATGACCTAGCACCTTCAGTGCTCTAAAATTTAATAAGATATACTTTTAAAGTAAGCATTTAAGAATTTAAATGTTAAATGTTCAGCTTCTAGGAAATCTACTTGAGAAAGTTCTAAACTTCTGAAAAACTTGGGTTTTGATGGTTTGGTTTGTTTTTATTTTTTTGAAAGGAACACTTAAGGTGCTATTAATATAGCAAAATTCTCCAGAGTTTCCTCAGTAGTAATCATTTGAAGTCCTATGCTGAGAGAGCACTTTTAACATTCCTTCCTATGCTGCTAGGTTTTAATCCCTATTATAATACTGAGGAATGCCTAACCCTTAATTCAGTGTACTGAATACCTCTGGTGGTTCCACTGTCAGCCCCACAAAAGTTAACAGCAGTTTTTCTGTTACTCTTCAGTTATATACTTCAAAGAGTTCAGAGTTGCCTGAACTCAAAGTATTGTGTGTGGGGTGGTGGGGAGCAGGGCGAAAAGACAGGCATGTTAGTCCTTCCAACTGCTTGCCTTGGAGCTGTATCTTGTCAAACTGTTCAGTGCTGTAGAGCCAACATAACTCTATAAGGGCAAATGAAGAGAGATTTCTAATCAGAAAAATAGGTAAAGTACTGTATGCCTTTCCTGAAATGTTAAATGGGTTCAAAGTGGGTGATTGCTTAAAAGGAATAATGTAAATGAATGCATGCTAATTTTTATAATCTTATGCAAATTATTGCTGTTCTACTGTGAATATTTGTTGCTAAATAAGAATCTGAATGTACATACTTTTGTAAGGCCTTAAGCAGTTCTGGGCTTTTTTTCTCATTATCATGAATCATACATATAGAATCATAGAATGCTTTGGGTTGGAAGGAACCTTAAAGATCATCCAGTTCCAACTGGATGGGCAGGCACACCTTTCACTAGACCAGACTGCCTTGAACACTGCCAGGGATGGGACATCCACAGCTTCTCTGAGCTACTTACTCCAGTGCCTCACCACCCTCACAGTAAAGAATTTCTTCCTAATATCTAATCTAAACCTGCACGCTTCCAGTTTGAAGCCATTCCCTTCCTCATCCTACACGACATGCCCTTGTAAAAGTCCCTCTCCAGCTCTCTTGTAGGTTCCCCTGGATGGCTGCTGTAAGGTCTTCCCAGAGCCTTCCCATGGGCTAATTAATATTTCTTTGCAGTGGTCAAGATCTGTGAGAAATTATATCCTCACCCACATATATTACTAGTTACTACCCACTTTCTCTTCTCTTTTACCCATTGAGATATAATTGCCATATATGATTTTACTAGATCTTAAAGGTCTTTTCCAGACTGAACAATTCTATGATTCTATAAAGCTATTCATAATATGAGGGTGGATATGTGACAATCTTTTGTCTGAATATCCTTTACAGTTTTTGGACAGAGCACCCATTATCTTCTTCCTGTTACATAATATCGAGCTTGTCCCAGTAGCTTTGATACATTTTTCCTCAACAGTATTTGTATACTTCAGCAGTACCTTTTTATTAATGGCTACTTACAGTAGCAACTGCTGTTTCCTAAAAATAAAAGTTCTACTGAAATGTATTTTTATATTAAGAAAATGAAAACACAACGTCATGATCTAGTTTTCTTTAGTTATGTAAAATATGCACCTTCACATACGACAGAATATTGGTTCAAATAACATCACTGTAATATTTCACAAACTTCTTTTTTCCCCCCAAGTTTAAGATAGTAAGCAAAAAGAATCTGATATTTAGTCATATCCATAAAGATGAAAAACCCTGTTTAACACATTATACAACAAGGGGATTGCCAATATTTATTCCCTTCCTCAGACTTGAATTTTATTATTGGCTGATCTTGTTCAGTTGGGCGGGGCATAAAAAAAGATGTGGAAGGCTTAACCTACCTCTCAATTATGGTAGTTCAATTATAAATACAAAGTTTTAATTCCTATTAAACTGTGCATCAAACAGAAAATGTGAGTTTAATCTGTCAACCTAACTGTTCTTCTGTGTACTTTGGTGTGAATTCTTGAGTATAACACAGCTCCAAACCTTCTAAAAGATATTATGGATTATACATACTTATTTAGGACTCCTTCCTTTAGAAAGGTTTTAGTCATGATCTGCAGCACTGTCTCCGGGACAGTTTGAAGATAAATCTTCAGAGTCTAAAGGATAAGCAGAGAGAAAGTGAGTAATTCCAGCTCAGAGGAGAAAAAATGATTGCTAGAAATATTTGTAGAATCCATGTAAAACAGATTAAATAGAATTCAAGTTTACAAGATATTAACTCCCAAATTTGTTTTAAAACAAGGAAAAAAATTCCATCCTCTTTGGTGCAGTGGAAATGTATAGTTTTCTAATTGTTTCAGAAACATAGTATGAAATATCTGAATTTTGTTTTCTCAAAACTAAATTAATACAAATAGAAATTCAAATAAATTTCAATATGGTTGGCTGTGTTTTGGTGTGTACTTTTTAGTTTTTCTTTTTTTTTTTGCTTGTTTCGGTTTTTGTGGGGTTTTTATTGTTTGTTTGGTTTGGTTGTGGGGTTTTTTTGTGAATGTAAACCTAAAAATTGCCTTACAATCAAAATGTACAAAGCTTTATGCAAAACCAGTAGCCTGCAAGATAAATTTGCTATGTAAATTTAAAATACTGCCGTAAGAGAAACACAAGGCATATTATCTACTATTTGAGTTGCATAAACAAAGCAAAACACAAAAGACTGGCTTACTCTCACCTTCATAGGTTGTTCCACACCAAATGCAATAGAAGTGTTCTTTTCTCAAGTAGGCTGTCAGGATGTGTAGCTTTTCTGATACCTACAGATATATACAGGAATGCAATGATCTGGGGCTCACATGACATACATCAGTTTAAGCTACTGGTTTGCTAAAATAAATTTTTAACCTTTTGCTATTGAAAAGCTACACAACACTGTAGCTCAGTAAGACATGAAGTTTTCCAAATCAGTAGAATAGGGCACAGGAATTCATCATCTCTGGAAAATTAACTGTTGTTTGCTGTTGTTTGCTCATCCTTCTTTCCAGCTAAGTAATCTGCACTAAAGAGAGCTACCTAAAAACATTACTTAGCTACCCGATTTCAAGTATACAGGATCTTTTGTGGATTTTTTCACACCTAATCTCTGACTGTGTAACCTAGTTCTCAAAAATTGTGAATTTCCTGTGTCCAACTTGAGATGATTGGCAAAGCATTTTCAGAAATTACTCAGTGATTCCAAAATTCAATCTCAGACATCAGATGAGGCATCCAAAATTAAAACTCAAAAGCAAGTAACTATGACCTTGCATAGATCAGCCTCAAAACAGATGAGCAATAAATCAGTGGTTTAATGTTTTATATTTTATCATGTAACTGCTATAAGAATCACTGCTTTGAGATTGCAAAGAGGCCCTTCACTACAGCTTGGAAAATGACATGTATACATATATTGTTTATATATATATATATGTATACATACATACTGTTTAAGGGATTATTAAATTTAATTCTGAATCAAGCCATTAATTTAGTTGCAGAGCTTACACTTAAGTCTGAGCTTGTGCATTCATCTTCTTTGTCTTCCTCATCCTTTTTGTCTTCCTCTTCAGGTTCTATCCAAAACCAAGTCTCTCTGGGAACTTCAATGTCCTTAAATAATGAGAGATTTAAATTGATGTTATCTGCCTTTGTAGGTTTCCTTGTAAGGTGCCAAATAACACCTCACCTTCTAGAAACTGGTTTTAAGTTTTAAAACTTGCATGTATAGTATAACCAAGGATTACTAAAGCTGTAGTGAGAAACTAAGTACAGCAATCCACAAGAAGGATTATTCACTTTTTTTTTTAAATGATGAAATGCATGCTAACAACTAGTCTATTCCATCTGTGTTTGGTATGTGTGAGGCTACTTTGCAACATTATCTCCCACCAAGGCTGTGAGCAGACACCCATGTTTATCAGTTAAAGACATGCTGCCCCAAGTTATTTTGTCAAGAGATCACATGGTGCTTCCTAATCCACTTCAGGTAATGTTAAAGGAAGAAGAGTCAACAAAGATTATCTAAGCTTAATTCAGATGACTTCATCTGAAGCAAACTAAGTAGTATCAAACAATCTCAGCAGAACTTGTGAGGTGGTATTAACCTCTAAAAGGTTAAGAGAGCAAAAAAAACCTTGAAGTTTTCAAGTGGCAAAAATTTATAGTAGTTCAACTCCTATTACCTGTGTTATTCCTTGCAGGTAGAAGGTACTTAAGTTTTGTGAGTTTTTTTGTTGTTGGTTGCTTGGTTGGATTTTTTGTTTAAGTGCTGCTTTGGTGAATCTGCTAATTCCCTCAATGATGATTCCCATCCTTAGAGACACTAAAGAGCTGCCTGGACATGGTCCTGGACAACCTGCTTTAGGTGACCCTGCTTGACCAGGAGGGTTGGACAAGATTACCTCCAGAGTCCCTTCCCACCATCAACCTTTGTGTGATGGTGTTGCTTCCTCAGTTGAGGCAAACAGTGCCATCATTTAGGATGGCCTGATACTGGATACTGAAAGATATGCAAACAGCTCAGAAGTAACCATAAGAATACAGGAGCAAAAACATGGGTCCTCACATAAGTTACCATGAAGTTGGTGTGCACCTTCAACTATCTTAATGGTGCAAACATACACTTCTTATTTTTTTAAAAGAGCTGAAGTGTTGCCAGACATTAAGACTTCAGGCTAGTTACCCCACAGTTTTAGACAACTTCCAAGAATTTAATCACTACTTTGTAGCCTGTATTTCTAACCTATAACCCTTCCTTCCAACCCCTCCAAAAACCCCACAGGTCTCACTTTTTGCATATCTAATTGCTGGCAGGCCCTCTGGCTTTTTCGCAGGTCCCCTTCCATCTTACGTTCTTCTTGTTTGTTTTTGAATCTTATTCTGTTAAGAAAAAGCAGAGAGGTAAATAAGCAGGCAGACACACAGTAAGACATGCATTACAGTCCACAGCTGTAAAATAGAAAAAGTAAGATTCTATTCCTACTGATTCTCTCAGACCATGACAACGTATGAGTGAAGAAGACATTCTGATGTTATTTCTGTGGGAGCACACCTTTATTTCTTCAGAATTATAACTTCAAGATGGTGCTTTTGTGATCATACTACACTGAACACTGTTTCTTCATCAGGTTTTCATCAGACATAAATGTTTCACTAAACATCTGCAAATTATACAGCCTTCTCTAGGCTTTCCTTTTCCACATACTACATGCAAATCAGGAGAAAACAAAACCAGTACAACCTTAACAAATTTACCCTGATTTTTAAAACCGTTGTAGGGACATTGCTCAAGACTTTAAATGTAAAATCCAGATAAAGATGGCATGATTCCCCAATTTAAAAAGTTGTGAATGACTTGAGAAAGGTTAGTATGTATATTATTTGCGTTATTAACAAAAAACTAAATGATGCAGCACATGCTTTTAGCATTGCAGTGTTCATCAACTTTTTGTTTAGAACTGAGAAACAATTACACTGTATTGTAACTCCCATCCTTCATTGAAAACATTCAAAAATAGTAACACAATAAAAGAATAAGTAAACTTAGAGCATAAAGAGAATCGTTTTTTAGACATTGCTTGGAATTCAGTTACATGACTTTACCTGAACTGATCTGCAGCTTGTTCATTTGCTTGTTTTTTCATATGGAGTTTTTGTCTATAGTTTTCCAGTTTTTCTTCAGCTTTTCGCTTTTTTAATTCCTCATGACCAAGACCACTTCTGCCTATGTTAGTTCAAAAGATGGATGTAACCAGTTGAGAAGCTCTGATACCCAACTAAGTAAATCAGAAAGCATCACAAACCTGTTTTTATGTTCAGAGGAATAGGTTCAACAATGCCTTCTCCTGTGAAAGAAAAAATAAGTCAATTAAAGAAATTAAGTTTTTCTCAAAGTACAATTTGTGCAGTGTATTCAAGTAGGCAAGTTGCTTTTGCCATGAAAGATGTAGATTTTCTTGTGTTTTTTTGGCTGGAAGTTGAAAAATCACAAATTGATATACATTTAGTGCACTACAAATGATGCAGTTGAACTGGAACTCCCTCTCTTTTTTGGCTTGTCTGCTGGGTTCCTAAATGTTTTCTTCAGGACGTGACCCAACTAAAAGAAAATGGTGTTGATGTGACAGGTATAACATGTCTGTGATGAAGACTGCTTTGTTACACCTTCTATAGCATTTTCAGTCTAGAATTTCACAACTTGACAATGATGAAGAAAAAAAACAATGTCTGGGCCAGTTTGTTTGCAATTGTCTGCTAGAGACCCAGCACAGCAAGTTACTGATGCCTTGTTTTACTGATTTTACTTCATCTATTTAGGCTTCATAAGGGTAGGCCAGTGTGCACAATTTCTTCTGAAGACTCCAACTATAAGTTCCAAGAGAGGGGTTCACATTTTTTGGAACACTATTAGCTTTGCAAAACCATCAAAACATCCTTCATGCAATTTCTGCAGGCATGCAGATATGGAAGTGCATTTATCGAGCTCCAAATACTGCTCTTCCCTCTCATCTCTCAATAGCCTGTACTGTTTTTACTTTGGGTTTAGGGTTTCGCTCTCGTCCTTTGCTCTGTCACAACACATTCACAGTTCAGTAACGCTAGGGCTCTCTGAGAGGCACTTATTGACCGTGTCCCCAAAGAAAGTTACGGACAGCTGCAGTCCGTAAATGTAAAGGTACAGCTGAATATAGGCACACACTTCAGACAGCAACAAGCTTACCGCTTTTGCCAAGGGCCTGGCCGCTCTTGTAGCCCATCTTCTGGAGCAAAGCAAAGCCTTTGTTCTCGTTGCCCAACGCACTTTTCAACACCAAGTCTCGCCTCTCTTTTTCTTCTTCTTTTATACTCTTTTGCCTGTTCTTCTCATTGGCTTCCTTTTGCTTTTCTTCTTTCTGAATAGCTTCCTTTACCCGCCTTACCATGGGCAAGCCTGGCCTTACATCCTGTCTGGGAGTTAATAATTCCAGCAAATATTAGAGCTTTTCTTAAAACCATAACCCTAAAATCACTTAAAAGCGGGGAAAAAAAAGAGCCAGCTACTTACTTAATAAACGAATCAGACATGTAGTCTTCCTCTTCATCTCCCTCCATGTCGGCACGCCCGCCCTGTGCCGGCCCCTTGCCTGTGGACACCGTCAGTACGCCTTACCGGGCATTTTATTTCCCCACAAGGCAGAGCCCACTCTCGCACGGAGAGGCGCCCCCCGCCGCCCCCCGGCCCTGCGGGACAGGGGGGCTGATGCACGAACACAAGTGAACCGCCAGGGCCCGTACTCCCAACGCCAGGGCACCCGCGCACCGCCTTCACGCCCCAGGCGTTTCCCGCGCTCCGCTAAACCGCCCGCTCCCTGCCCAGGACTCCGCCCAGCCGCGGGGCGCCCACAGAGCCGCGGGCCGAGGGCAGCGGGGGGCTGCGGCGGCCGAGGGGAACCGAGCGCCCGCCGCACCACCGCGGCGCCTGCGCGGGGCGGCCCCGCCGACTCGCGCCTGCGCTTCTCTTACCGCTTCCCTAGAATGCGGGGGCCGCGGGTGCTCCGGGGTGCGTCGGGGCCGGGAGCGGGTTGGGAACGTGTCTCCCCCTTTCCGCCCAGCCCCCACGCCCGCCGGACCCGGGCCTTGCGGGGGCTGAAGCGCCGAGCCGCAGGGATGGTCCCAGCGGCCGGGGGCGAGCTCGCGGCGCATCGCGCACCGACGCGTGTCCGTGACGGTGACGTGTCCGTGTCCGTGAGCGGCCCCGGGCGCGGTGTCGTGCCTGGCATAGCCGACGCCGGCGGGAACGCGGCCCACGCACGGTGCAGCGTAAAGTGACCGTGAGCGGCGGAGGGGCCCGGTCCGGCCCGGCCCGGGGGCTGCGGGGAGCGGGCCGGAGGGTCGTCCGCGCTTCGCTCCGCGGCGTTGGCGGCGTGTGGGGGGTCGGCGAGCGTGTGCGGGGGGTGCGTGTATGGAGGGCAGCGCGCATCGCTCCCTTAGCATCATTCTCATAGCATCATTGCCTTGAGCATCGTTCCCTTACAACCAGGGCTGTACCGCGGCTTTACCTCCTGGGGGGTTTTTAGAACCAGGCAGGATGCCCTGGGAGAGGTGCTACAGTTTATTAAAGTAGCCGATACAGGTAGGGGGACCCAGCGCGAAAACCTTTTCCCCCCATGCAGCCCTTTGGGAGGGTGTCACTTTGCCTAAACTTGCCTGGTTTTTAGCTTTCTCAGTCCACTGAAGTGCTTGCATGATGAAGATATGAATAGTTGATTTAGGCTACAGAAAACCAGCTGTGGAATAGAAAGGAATTTTAGTGCATCTGAATGTTTTCTAACCTCTGTAATGCTTGAACATACTTTGCTGGGCGCTGGTTGACTTTTATCAGCTTTCACTGTGCATCCTGCGGGAGATCACAGTGTATTTATTTCTTGTAACAGGCACAGCAAGACCCAACCCTCACCAGAATCGGTAGGACTTGGTGGGCATTTTTCACTGCATTTTGGAGCAAACCGTTTTCCAGTGTGAGTTTTGAATTGCTTACGTGTGTATGTTAGACTCTGAATCTTCAGCTGAATATTTGTGTAATTGTTTTTGTGCCTGATCTCTTGTGGTTCAGTGGCACAGTTGAAAGTATGTGCAGGTTTGGTTGCTTGGAGCTTGTGTTACCTAAATTAAGATGGAAAGGTACGGGAGTGTGCAGAAGGTTGTGGCCAGGGGTAAATGAAACCTTTTATGTGGGGAGAAAAAGGAGTAATGAGCTGTGCTGTCATGCAGCACTCCTGTGCTGTGTGGGTGTGACAAGCAGTGTAGATCTCTGGGGTGGTATCCAAAGAATCGTAGTGCTGTCATTCATTGTGTTTCTCTCTGCTGTCATGAAAAGGTATTCTGAGGTGATGTGTCTGTGTATTATTGACAGGCAATACCTCCTCAAGTCTTTATAAATGAGAAAAAAAAAAATCCAGAAGATGTCTTTGGAGGTGTCAGGGCAGGCTTCCATATGTGGCTCTTCTACATTTGCTGAGCTGTTGCTGGAGATGAATGTAGTGAAAAATATTATGCAAAGTACTGAAATGCAGAGAACAACCTTAGTATTACAGACATTATGATGCTTTAGTTTCATCAGCACCAAATCATTGAGGCGAATTCAGAACCATAATACAGTTGTAGTATTAACATGTTACCCCTACCAATGTCTGTTTAAAAAAATAATAATTTAAATCACCTCATTTGACTTTAAGAATTTTTTGGGTTTGACCATGAATGAGGAAGCAGCTTTGAGCTCTTGAGAGCACAAGTGGAACTGTGCAGCTGTCAAAAGATGATGTCTGTTGAATGCTGATGTCTTACATAATACTCCTTAGTTGTTTTGCTTTCTCTGTTTTGACTGAGATCCTAGTTTCAGCATCACTGCATTCAGATTTTGGGCTTTTTTTTTTTTTATTTTTGGGTTTCTTTTTTCTGAAGATGGTTGACTTAATTTTGTGATTTTAGATAAGTTTTGTTTGGTTGGTTTTTTTTCTGTCAGCTCTTCATTAAACAGCTGCACTTTGTTTAAAGGTGGTTTGCTAAGTTTAAGTTGTCCACAGAGTGTTTGCTTACATTGACAGTGTACTTTTGGTCATGCTTTGGAGCTACCCACCATTCAGTGTTTGAGCAGGATCTCTGGTATTTGATTTGCAGTATTTTGCCTGCTGGGGACTCTTGCAGTCATTTGGCTGCTGCTTGTATTCCAGGCTGTCACACCTAAGGCTTGCTAGGTTTCAGAGGGCTTATTTGTACAGCACTTAAAGCAAGGCTAGTGGGATCTGGGGAGTCTTAGGTCTGTGATGCCAAATAATATCACTGTTCCTACCTTTCTCAAATTTGTGATAGGTGGAAATTCCTACTTGTGGTAGGCTCATCTTCACACCTTGTCTGTTGAAGGGTGTTGAGGAGGTGGCTGGGTTCATGCCCAAACTTTGAGATTGTGCTCAAGGGTCTTGATTTGGGACAATCCTTATTCTCTTTTATGTAAGAGGAGACAATGAGATGACTCCTTTACCTCTTTTGTACTTTTTTTCTTTAAATGGGGACTTAAGTATATTTTTCTTGGCTGAGAGTGTGGACCTTAAAATTGCCCATAGGTGCTTTTTTTTTTATAACTAACAACTCTGTTCCCTGAAATACTAATGGATGCACTCAGTTTGTAAATATGTGTGTAGGTTTTATCTGGGACTGCTTAGCTAAGACAAGTCTAAGCAAGCTGGAAACTTGAATTTGATTTTCAAAGGTTTGTACTAATGTACTGTACTTTATACTAATATTTACATTTTTATTTTAGAGTTTCTACACAAATTTACATAAAACTGGAATTTAACCTGTCATGGAGCTGGCTCACAGTTTGTTACTGAACGAGGAAGCATTAGCTCAAATCACAGAAGCAAAGAGACCAGTCTTTATCTTTGAGTGGTTAAGATTTTTGGATAAAGTGCTAGTAGCTGCCAACAAGGTAATTTTATGGTTTTTTTCCCCGCTTCTTTGTAAAGCATTTATATTAATTTCATGCCAGAGACAGTCGACAGGTAATGGCCAGATGACAACTGTATGGTTTCAGATTCAGCCTGAAGAGCCTTTGTATTAGTTTGTAGCTCTTAAGTGTTTAATTGTAGGCAGTCAGTAGGCAAGTAGTAAGTATTTTGAAAAAGTAAAATTCAAATAGGATAACAGCTAATTCTGAGCATTTAGCATCTGTCTCTGCTATTATTGAATGTATCTCGAATCTCTGTGAAACAATCAATTTGCTAAATTATATGCAATTGGGGGTGGTATAAGGTTTACTTCAATCTCTTCTAGGTTTTTTTTGGGTTTTGGTGGCAAGACACAGGATTAAATGACTTTTTTATTTGTTTTTGATCTCTTTAACAGACAGATGTCAAGGAAAAACAGAAGAAACTTGTAGAACAGCTAACAGGACTCATCAGCAGTTCCCCTGGGCCACCTACGCGAAAGCTGCTTGCAAAAAATCTCGCTGCTCTCTACAGCATCGGAGACACATTTACTGTTTTTCAGACACTTGACAAGTGTAATGACATCATCAAGAGCAAAGATGATACTGCAACCTACCTGCCCACAAAACTGTATGTTTAGTATTACTAGGGAAAGGGGAGATTTTTAAGTGGTCCTGGATATTACAGAACAATCTGCCTATATATGTGCATGCTATGTTTATTTATATTTTGTGTGCTTATTTGGGGTTCACAGATGCTTGATATAGCAAGAAAAGCACTGGATTGAGATTGTGCAGGGCAGGACTCAAAGGTTACACATACATGGCTGTCTGAAATGTCTTACTCTAGGCAAGGCACTATTTTATGTTTCTTCACATGCTTATGGCATGGAGAGGATAACAGTTAATGCAGTAATGCAATGAAGACTTTCCATCAGTGGAATTATTGCTGATTGCACTCAGGTACCCCATTTAAGATGGAACCTGCAGGTTGTCAAACCAAAGCATTATCTATGCCCACAGACTTGTAATCACATGTTCAAGCTTTTTTCCCTATCAAATCTTGCCTTTTATATTCCTCCACTGTGATATGCCACACAGGTCTCTCAAGCAGAGTCTCTATACTTGGATATGTGTGTGCATGTATGCATGATACAGTTTGTCTGTACTCATAGGAGCAGTCTCAATGGTAGGAATTTGGTTAATGCCACAAAAAACTTCCACTGAAACTGGTTTTGGTACTTTCCTGCACATACTGCTTCATATGTTCACAGTGTCTAGTGAACCCTAATTTGGTCTTGCCTTCAGACATTATCCCAACAAAAAAGGATTTAACAATGAAGTCTGAAATAGTCACTGTTTGGGTAGGTACTGTCTTCTTGTTTGTATCTTGTGCAGCTCTGTGAGGAACTTGTATAAGTGGGAAGGGTTTTGTACTGTATATATGCTCTGAAACTTAAGCTATCCAAGTGGTAGTCCAGCAGTTTTTTTAATGGAGATATGCCCCTTAAGGAGGAGTCTGTAATAAGTTTGTAATATAGCTTTGCTAAAAGATCATTTAACCAAGAACTACAGATTTAAAAAAAGCCTCATTTGTGATGAAAAAGTACATGTTTTCAGGAACTGCTTCTGTGATTGTCCTGGAACAATTTGTGTGTATAACTGTAATATGGTGTTAATTAAATATCCCTAATCTTAAATGGCAGGGCAAGGAAAACGTGTAAATAACTGTTTATGGATTGAGTGATTTTACAGTACCTATAACTTTTCTTATGTTATGCAATAATTTATTCATTTTAAGTTCTCAGTCTTGAAAAAACCCTATAATTCAGTATCTACAGAAATGTGTCAGGATATATTATAGGGTAAGAGTTATCTTGCAGGTGCTTGGAAAAAGACCTAATAGTGCTGAGATTTCAGCATATTTTGTTTTCTCCAGAACTTTTCATTCTGTGTGTAGATCCTGTAGTAATACCTCTTCAAATACATTTGTGTTCCTAGAAGCTGCTAAACAAAAAGATTGTTTAAATGAACAGCCAGTATAAGTAGTGGATAATAAACAGATTTTTATTCATCAGTGATGATTAAAACATACATTTCTGTTTGTTTGTCTTCATTTAGATAATACAGAAAAAGAGTACACCAATTAATGTCTTTTTTCATAGGGCTGCTGTGGCGTGTGTTGGAGCATTTTATGAAAAAATGGGCAGAATGCTGGGTAGTTCTTTTCCAGAAACTGTGAATAATCTTTTAAAGTCTCTGAAAAGTGCAGAGGTAATTTGCAGATTATTTGTGTGGTCTTGATTCCATTTAAAATGAAACTTGTTTCCGCCAAAGGTGTTTGCCAATATGCCTAGGTTATTATCAAATCTACTGCAGAAAGTTTTGAGTTTATCATATGAATATTATAGTAGTTGCTTCATAGTGGCATCAGTAATTAAAATTCCAAAATGACTGTATGTATTATTTCTAACAACTGTGTTAGGATTTTTGCCCAAGTATCCTGAATAAACATTCAGTTGTTAAAAATTAGTAATAAATACTTAAGTTTTGCAGCAAAGTTGTTACTCTGAATGCGAGCAGGATATGTTGTGCCCTGAAAAGAGAGAGTATGTCATGATATTGCGAGAATGTATCCTGGGCTGTCAGTAGATTTGATTTTATAGAAATAGCTGTATTGGAACAAGTTGGAATACTGATTGTGCGGATCTTGACCTGGCTGCTGTTTTCTTCAGCTGTGTTGTTTGTACCTATGTGATAATTTATTTATTTGTTTATGTGTGTGTGTGTCCTCAAATTGTAAAGTACCTGCCTGTGTGCAGGTTTAGAAGGAAGCTGTTAACTACTTGAGCTTCCTGTTCTCTTGTATCAGCTGGTGTTCTGTTTTTTTTCCTGAGTCTGCAGCAGATAAATAGTGGGACAGGACAGAAGCATTCTGTCTAGAGCCAATTTGTTGGGTTGCCTGGGCTTATCTTAATTTATGTGACAACACAGGGAGTTTTAGTAAAGCTGTATGTAGTGCTTACTGCTGTCTAAAATCAGCTAGATATCAGTTACATATGCCTTCATTGTCAGTGTTTCCAAAAATACTCCTGTATAGAAGCAAGAAAATGCAAAAGTATACAGCTGGTTCTTAGTATATACTGTGTCCCCATTTTTGCATAAATGTTTTTGTGTGTGTGCAGTCTCAGGGCCGCAGTGAAATTCTGATGAGTTTGCAGAAAGTCCTCAATGGACTCGGAGGAGCAGCAGCTTCTTGTCACCGTGACATTTATAAGAATGCCCGATCTCTGCTGACGGACAGGTCTATGGCTGTACGATGTGCTGTGGCCAAGGTGGGTGTGTTTTTCACTAGCCTTGGAAGCTCTTGTACTGTGACTGTGAAGAACCTGTAGTTGAAGTGTGACCTGTTGTGTATGATAGGAAATTTGATAATTAGTTGGGCAAGGTAAGTTCTTCCTAGTTTATACTGCAGGCGCAGACATTTGATTTATTTCACAGGTACTGTAGTAATGTATTCCCCACTTCATAAACATGTATGAGATAGAATATATTAACTGTGAGCCTCAGTGGGAGAGGTTTTTCGTAACATGTTTCTTTCTTTGAGATTTCTTTTAATTTTTTTATTTATGTATTAGCCTATTCTATGACTCTTCTGATTGTTTACTCAGCTAAGTTATTTGGTATATGGGAGAGTGTAAATTAACTCTTAAAATATTCATATTAAAATATTTGCTGAATAAACCTGACAATTGCAGTCTGATACTTACGTGAAAGGTAAGAATGGTCTCCTGGTGCTTAGCAAGTCTATTTTTCTTACAGTGTCTGCTGGAATTACAGAATGAAGCGGTGTTTATGTGGACAGCTGAACTAGAGAATGTTGCAACCCTGTGCTTCAAAGCTCTGGAAAACTCAAACTATGGTGTGCGTGTTGCAGTGTCAAAGCTTTTGGGGACAGTCATGGCTACAGCACTGATACCAAAACAAGCAACAGGTACAAGCCCTTCTGGATTCCATGTCTAAGTGGGCAGACTGCACCTTCAGTACCATGTTACATGGCAGTGTTGCACAACACATTGCTGTTCCAATAGATGAGAGCTTATAGGTGGATTATTTGTTTTTATAAACAATAAGCTAAAAAGAGGAAAGAGTGCAGAATATCTGTTGTAGTCACAAAAATCATTTGGGAAAAGTGACTTATTTTTTAAGAATGAAAACAAATTTTTATCTGAAATCTTGGGTAGATTTATTTTTGCAATAAGTCTGGTTTCAAGATCATTGCTTGTATTGTTTCGAACTTTGGGATCAAACTGTTACTTCCCGTTTTCCAAAAGTGATGCGACAAAATGTGAAGAGAGCCACGCTTGAGGAGGTCTTGGAGCTTATGGCCACAGGATTTTTGCGAGGAGGATCTGGTTTCCTGAAGAGTGGTGGAGAGATGTTAAAAGTAGGAGGATCTGTCAATAGGGAAGTGCGAGTTGGTGTTACCCAGGTTTGTAACTTTTTAATGAAGTAACATTTATGTTATATGTATTATATATACATAGTAGTAACCCTTTTAGTAGGAAACATACACTCTTCTGTATTTGTTGATAACTTACAAGTCTGGTTTGACTCACCTGTTTTGGGAGATGTACATGAGGTCTTCATTTTGAATTGTAACACACTGATGATGCTGCTATTATTTACATTGTGTTCTCAAATTTTTTAGAAAGAGACACATTTAAAGTGATGAACTGGCTTTTCTTGCTGTCATGCAGAGAGTATTTTATGCTTCATAGTATACATAGCAGTACAGGGGCTACTGTATAGTTTCAGCAACAAAGACTTGGCTACTGCATGGATTCATACTGCCTAACTGATTAGGGTTGCTTATTACTAACTGGTATTGCTACTGTGCTGCATAATACACAAGTATAACTGTAGCCTTATATAGTCTTTTCTTTCTGTTTTAATTGGACTTTAATCTGTGTGACTTCTGAATTTTGCAGGCCTACGTTGTCTTTGTTACAACATTAGGAGGTCAGTGGTTGGAGCGCAACTTTGCTACCTTTTTGTCCCACGTACTTGATCTGGTCTCCCATCCTCGTGCAACTCAGACCCATGTGGAGGCAGTTTACTCTCGAAGATGCGTGTCATTTATCCTGAGAGCAACTGTGGGCAGCTTACTCGGGGAGAAAGCACAAATTGCAGCTGCCAAAGATATATGTCAAGCCATTGGTAAACAAATGAAGGCAGTGGGTGAGAACCATTTGTCTTTATTTTGAGACCAGTTTAAAGTTACTGTCATTATACTGGGTTAGCCATTTTTCACCTTTCTTCTACTGTGAGGAGCAATTTTGTTGTTATGGTAAATGATAGTTCAGCTGCATTCTGTTTAAATATGCTATCCAAAATGTAAGTTTTACTTGAAAAGTGATTGTATAAAGCTGGCTTGTTATCCTGTGATAGCAAATGCAATGTTGAAAGCCTAGAATGAAATGGGTAGAAAAAAATCTGCATGTGTCATCTGTCTTGGAATAGGTTGTATTGAAAGTCATGCAGAGTTCTTTACTAGGAGTGCTGAAGGTAGGGCAGGATCTTTTAGGTCCTTATGTCTCTGCTGCTAACATCCATAACAGCCAATTGGATTTTGAGACAAGTAATCTGAAGATTGGAATTAGAGAAGAAAAATATGATCCCTTTGCTAAACTTTGCAGAATATGTAATTCCTAAGAGGGCTGACAAAATTGTCTTGGCATTTGTTTCCTATGAAATGAATTAGTTTGAGCTGAAGATTTAAAAAGTAAATTGGAATTACACATCCCTGTATTTACCATGCATCTGTTTCTTATCCTTTTCTGCTGTCATCTAATTCGAGTTTAAAGCAATGTTTAACCTATGAAAATGAACTTGATATTGAGACTTTTGCAGGTTTTTCTCATAATTATTTTTTGATAGGGTAAGTATGGAACCTTAAAAGGCTTCTGATTACCATAAGTATTACTTCCAGGAAAATAAGACTATTAGAAATGCTACTTCTGAGGGGAAACAGTTGCAGAAATTACTCTTCCTGCCATCTTATCAAAGTTGCAGGAAATTCCATTGTGTATTTGGCTGGTTGGAAGAACTATTTCATTTTTCTGAGATTTTCCAATGAATTTGATGAAAAATTGATCGTTTTTACTTGGTAATGATAGCTTCCCTTCATATAAGACGGACCATTTTCTTAATTTGTCCTTTAGTAGACACACAAACATTAAGCTGATACTGAAGCGCCTTTTCTTTGAAAAGACAGTTGCTGCTTCTGGGATATTTTGTAGGAGAAAGAACCTACAGTGGGATCTAGGAACTCAGTTGGATATCTTTAAAATGATTAGAGATTGTGATTAATTAATTACTAAAGGTCTCAGTATCATTGAGTGTGTATGCATGCAAATTTGTATGCAAAACCTAGATATGTCAAGATTGTATTTTTTTTGTTACTGTGTATAGATACACATATACAGCATTTGTGTATTGTATACTTATTTTTGCTATGTTATGCTGTTAATGCTGTAATTTTAGTGCTCTGCCACCCATAGTAACTGCTGGGCAACTGTGTTTTATAGTCTTTGGATGATTGTGTTTGGCTGATAGCTATAAAACTATTCCCTTCCAGAATGTGTTCGCTTTGCAAGTTCTTACTATCACCAGACTTGTGATTTTGTTTTAATATAGGGTTGGTATCAAAACAAAACTGTCATTTTCTGTCCTATGCAGCTCATGTGTGATTCAAATGGTAGTTAAGAAAGATACTCTTGTTTTTCTTTTCTGCAGAAGCAGTAGTGAATGATGCTAACAGTGAAAATAAATCAGGAGCTGCTGATGTAGCTGCAAGCCAGCATGTAATGGTGTGTGCCCTCCAGGAATTGGGTAGTCTGGTTCAGAGTCTGAATGCCACTGCATCTCCCCTTATTCAAGAACCCTCTATAGGTATGCAAATAAATGGAAATAGATTGTGAGGCATTTGAGCAATGAATATGAAATATCATTAAATCTACTTAAATAATGAATGAATATATAAGAAATAAATCAGTGAAGCTGGCACTTCCTGTAGCACTCTGGGTAGCTACAGTTGTCCAGCTCATTGTTTTTAGTACCCTAACTTTAGTTCAAGTTTGACAAAGTATTAAACAGCTGTTTTGATTGGAGTCTGTCTGAAGCTATTTCTTAGGGTCAGTAAGGTTGTGATTTCTGGTATTGGTCTGTTTACAATAATGGTTTTATAGGAAATGCATTGTTTTGCTGTGTAAGGTCTGAAATACTTGCTCCTGGAAAACTGTATTGCCTTTAAATACCAAATTTCTGTGGGGAGGCAAAAGTATTTTGTTCAGGTGAAGCTGTGGGTAGTGCCATTTAAAAAAAGTGGTTCTTTGTCTTAAGTTGACTAGGGTTTGTGGGGGATTTTCTTCTTGTTTGTTTCAGTATCTGAATCCACATTTATGCTGTAGTGTTGGAGTTTTAAAAGTTTTTTCAGTTTGTGGATGCCTATGGTCTTTTCCAATGGAAGTGCAAGCTCTTTTAGTTATTTCATTGTGCAGATTGTTGTCTTGATGCATATGATATTCTTCTCATACTGATTTGTGCCAGCTGTGGGGTGGGGGAGACCACCCATATTTATTCCTTCTGGCTGCTGCATCCCATGAGAATAGAGGGGACTGTATCTCAGCATTATTTCTGTTAGCAGCTGTGAACTAAGCAGGTAGAAATTGCTCACTAACTCAAGAGAAAGCAAGAGATAAAGCAGCAGTGGGAGTTTGAAGTAAGTGTTTTCCAAGATCTGGACCAAAGAAGGTCTTGATGTGGAGACAGGTTGGACTGAAGGACTCAGAAAGTGGGATTAAGTAAGCACAGAGGTTTCTGTAGAGTGTAGAAAGCTGGAAACATGATGCAGAGGAGACAGCACTGTGTCAAAAGCAGGGTACAGCAGTCAGTGACATCTGTAGCATATGCTTGGCTACAATGTGAAACAAAACCAAAGATAGTCTTACTGTTGCTCTGTTATTGGCAATGTGTGTAAAACATTGTGGGAATCATCACATCCAGTGCCTGTTTCCTTATATAGAGTTGCTACCTCTTTTCAATGTTTAAGTAGAAGTCTCTTCTATGGCTCTGACAGCTCCAACTTTGCTGGTAGAATCTGATGTGGAGCAGTATAATGCTAATAACACCTCTTTCCTTCATTAAAGGAAAAGGCAAAGTCATAAAATTCAAGTACTCTTACTTCTGACTTTCTTAACTTTCACATTGACTGTCTAGTATTGATTCAGTTTACTTGTCTGTGTATTAAAAACAGGATAAGCTAAAGACTGTAAACTCTCCTTTCTGTAGGTCTGTTGGAGACAGTAACTTCAGTTCTTCTTCATCCCAGCATGGCTGCTCGCCTTGCTGCGGCGTGGTGCTTGCGGTGTGTAGCCGTGGCATTGCCTTTTCAGTTGACTCCATTTTTAGACAGATGTGCAGAAAGACTCAACAATCTGAAGACCTCCCCTGAAGCTGTTAGTGGCTACAGTTTTGCAATGGCTGCATTGTTAGGTGGTGTGCATCAGTGCCCACTAGGTATTCCTCATGCCAAAGGAAAGGTGAGATAATGAGTGTTTCATCTGTGAGTGTACTAAAAGATACCTTTTTATCTACAAGTAATAGCTTTGCAAAATGTGTGGCATGCTAGTGAGTTAAAGCATTATTGAAATTAAACTTGTGCCTAGCGTGAGAGTTGTGGCCAGAGTACATGTTTGTAGTATCTCAGTTGCAATATTTAACAGCTGTTTTCCTCTCTCTTTTTTGAATTTGCTGAAGAGAAATTGAAATATTGGAAAATCTCTGAAATAACTGTTGATGAGAATATTTCTAGCTGTATTGTCATATGAAAAGCACTAATCATCTGCATGAAATGTAATGTGCATTCATTCTTTTTCCAAGGTCAACTTAAATGATTTGAGAACATCTTTGTGTATAGTCTATAAGAGTGAACAAGTAGCAGTAGCTTGCAGTGGTTTCATTTATATTTTTAAATCTCTTGTGTTTTGTCATTGGTGCAGATGGTGGTCAGTATTGCTGAGGATCTGTTACGAACTGCTGCGCAAAACAGCAGGCTCTCCTTGCAGCGGACTCAAGCTGGATGGCTTTTACTTGGAGCACTCATGACTTTGGGTTTGTAAAAATGGTCTACTTTTTCTTTTATTTGAAACTTGTCTAACATTTCTGATTATCCACTCTGGCAAATGGTCTATACACATAATGAGTTCAGTATCTAGCACAAGAGTATTTATACAGGAGAAACAGTGTTCGTACACTTATTTCAGTAGTATTGTTATGCTGGGGAGAGATGAAGTGTTAGAGTTTATGTAAGCTGAAGGATAGTAGAAGGTGCCATACCTAAAAAAAAAATAAATCTGTTTTTAGAAACCCAGCCTTTAGTCATTCTATGAAAGGGCAAAATTGCCCATAGTCTTCCTTCCTTAATACTGTGGTACAGAAGAAATGGACCGTAAGTAAATGCAATGAGCATTCCAACAAGTTGCATGTGTACCTCTAGATAGGCAACAGTACTGATTCAAAGTGTTGTTAGTTTAAAAGCCCTTCAGTTTTTTAAAAGACCCAGCTTCACATTCATATCTGCCATAACAGAACTACCAGAAACTGTATTTTGAGAGGTTGCAAGTGTGCTCTTGAATTTTGTGGTAGTACTGTTTTTTTCTGTTTTGAGTTTTATTTTACTGGAAAATATGATAAACTTTCAATGCGTTCTGCAGTATTTTGATCTCTCAGAAAATACCATTTTATGTTTAATCTCATTTCTCTAAATTGTCTCTTTTTTGCCAGTTTATTGTCATGTTTTTCTAACAGTGTATCCCTATTTTGGTTATCTTTCTCTAACGTATTTTTAATGTACTTGCATTAGACCTTTTTTAGAAGCTTAGAAAAATATTTGACTGTTAAAGTAATTTAGATAATCAGTAACTATCAGTTATTTTTATATTCCTTTTTTGGACAAGTTATGGTAGGCTAAAGAACTTGCCTTCAAAATAGTAACATAAAAAAATTTGAAGTCAAAAAGATAGTAAAAAGACAGTTGGCAGTGGTTCCATAGGACATGGTAGTGTATAGAATAACCTATTTCCTATATTTTTGGTACTGATATCAAGAAGCAGACTTAAAGTATAGTAGTTGTTTGCCACACTTTTAACCTAGAAATGAGAAAGAATTTAATTTGGTTTTTGTTGTTCAAATGGGGAGAAAAGGAGAAGTGAAATAAGACAAAAACAGCTCAAAGAGCAAAAGCCTTCATAGCAGATTTTTCACACTCAGTTAAATACATGTTTTTATTATACTGTCACTTAATTTTTTTTGCACAGGTCCTTCTGTTGTTCGGTATCATCTGCCTAAGATGTTGCTGCTGTGGCGAAATGTGTTTCCACGTTCTCTGAAGGAGCTGGAAGCAGAGAAGGCGAGAGGAGATTCTTTTACCTGGCAAGTAACGTTGGAAGGCCGTGCTGGAGCTCTGTGTGGTAAGAATTTCAGACTTTGAGATTACACCTGTACAGTAAACCAAAATGTGATCCCAAGTATTGTAGAGAGAACTCTCGTAACTTTCCTGCTTTCTTTGAAAATGAGTAAAATGTGTCAGACTTTCATCAATGTGACCTGGTTTTGGCATACAGTTTTTGGAGGATATCATACAGTCTTTGAATAAACATTTTTAATTGTTGCTTTTTTGATATTCTCCTAGGATCTGTATCTTGCTTATGTTTTATATTTGTTTGTTTCAGTGAAAGTTTAATTTAAACCTTTTTGTTATTAGCTATGAGAAGTTTTGTTGCTCACTGTCCTGAGCTGCTTACTGAGGATGTGATCAGGAAACTGATGACACCCATAGAATGTGCCATGACAATGATGTCGCAGTAAGTAGGCAGTTTTTGCTCTTTATTCACTTTGTCTTTTCTTGAAATACTACAACTAATTTGTTTTAATTCATGTTCTGACATAGTACCGCACTGTTGCTGCACATCCATTTTGAAGAAAAACTTTTATCCTTGTGTTTGTGGTCTTTAGCTTTGTAAAATTATTACTGCTGAAGGGCCTACATTGGTAACTTTGGTAACTGTGCTTTGATTTCCAGTTCAGTGAGCTTTTGAATTCATGGTTTGCTTATCCCTGTGCAAGAAATGACAAAACTAAGATACTGGTATACTAGATGTTATTCAAAAAGCTCTTCTCTTATAAATTGAACTAATGAAAAGACTTTCAGCATTTTACAGAATAAAAATAAAACATAGAATTGAGTTGGTTTTGTGGTTTGGTGTCTGTCCCTTTCCTCTGCCCCACCCCTAATTAAAATAGAGCTTTCTTCTGAGGAGGTGCATTTCACTGATTTAGGGCAGCGTGTGTTGTGGTTTTGTTGTTTTGGTAGTTTTGTTTCTTTTAAAAGTCTTCTCTGTACAATTACTTCTGAAAATGTACTGATAATTGAGTGATGTCCAGGGTAGTTCTCTGAACAATTTTTTCTTGCCTTGGCTAGAGATATATCTTGTGAAAAGAAATTTGAAAATACTCTTTTCAGTAACTGCAGCATTTCTGGTTGTCTCTTTTTCTTTTTTAATTCTGTAGCATTCCATCAGTAATTAAAGCCCATGGAGCTCATCTCAAAGCTAGTGCAGCTATGGTTCGTTTAAGACTTTATGATATATTGGCTTTATTGCCTCCAAAGACATATGAAGGTACATACATTTTTAACAATTTTTAATAAAGTAAAAATTCTGCTTGCTCCTTGTGATGTATTTTTGGTGTTTACCTTTGAAGCGAATACAAGATTGAAAATAGGATTCTAGGAATCTCCAAGAATCTTGTACTATATTCCTCATCTTCTGTATGTCATCTTGACAGTATAACTACAGAGAATGAATATTGCTAAACATTCATAGAGTAACACAGTATAAAAGTTATGGTCCTGTTTATAGGATTGGGAGATATGAAGATTGTGCTCTGAGATCCAATAATGGTGGTTTAAGTCATTGTTACTTAAAAGATGGAGAATATTATTTCATGTTTTCATAGTATACTGAAAAGACAGATGTGACAATGAAGGTTTAGTTTTGGTTTCAGTGTTGCTTTTTTGTTTGTGTTTTTGTTTTTGTTTGAGCTGTTTTTTGTTTGTTTGTTTGTTTTTACCTGATTTACTGTATTAGACAGATCTACTATTATTAAATTACCAGGCACTGTCACAGGGTCTGACAGATTAGGTTTTTGGTTTTTGTTTGTTTTTGTTATTTCATTAAATTTACATGAGCATGTGGATGAGCAAATTTTTTCAAAATCTGGATTATTGTCCTGGAAGGAATGACCCAATCTGTTGTTTAGAACAGGACACCATCCTGAGTAATGTCCTCTAGTGGACCCTGCTTGAGCAGGGAGTTGGGACTAGATGACTCCCAGTGGTTCTCAACCTTATCCATTCTTTGGGTATTTGGGTACCCATGATTTGGGAATTGAGAGCCTAGGGTTCTGTTTGAAGCCTTGCTGTCAACTCTAGTCTTGTTGGGTTTACTTCTCTGTTCTCTACCTCTAAAATCGAAGTAATGGTATATGTGTAACTTTTGATCAATAGCTGGAATGTTTTGGCTAAGAAGCAGCAATGATTCTTTTTAATATTTATCTTTTTAGGATCATTTAATGCGCTGCTTCGAGAGTTGGTAGCAGAATTTACTTTGACAGACAACTCTGCTAATACAACCACATCACTCTTAAGGTCTCTTTGTCATTATGATGATAGTGTTTTGCTTGGCTCTTGGCTGCAGGAAACGGATCATAAGTCAATTGAAGATCAGGTAATAAAAAACTGGAATAATGAATTATCTGCCCTCTCTGTGTGATGTGTGTTTGGGGAAGCCTTTTAAAACTGAAGCTTCATGCCTTGTTTTTAGTCTTATTTCAGAGCTTTGTTAGATGTAAGTTCTTCCATCTACAGGGTACTGTTTTGACTAAAAACTACCTGCAGCTGAGATATAAATTGCATAACCCTACTCACAGGGTTGTGCTTCGTGAATTAGCCTAATTTCTTAAAAAAACCCCCAACCCAACACTCCCAGTCCATCCCCCAATGTTCCTAGTCTAGCAGTTGTTCTCATATATATATGTTTTTTTTCTGAACCAGGAGAAATGTAGGTTCCACTTAACATGTTTTATAATGAAATTGCTGTCAGAATATCAATATTGCAAATGGTGTTACAACAAAACAAGATTCAGCTGGTTTTATAGGTGTAGTATGAAATCTTGCATTTCATTTGGAAATGTTGACATGATGTTGTTGGCTGAAAGTGCCTCTTCTGCAACAGCCCATATAATAATGTAAAGGTTTCTGAGAAGGCTTGATGCAGCAGATCCAAAAGCTAAGGCTGATACCAAATGTGAGAAACTAAAGGGAAGCTGTTTCTGAGGCACGAGCAACATGTCAAAGCAGAAAAAGTTTTTATAAACTTCCTTTGTTTGTTGTGGTGGACATAGTAGACTTCCAGTGCAGTCTTCAATCCACAGAGGTTTCTGGGATGCTCCTTTCCCTCGTTTTTTGGTTTTTTTTTTTGTTAACCTCTTACCTGTAAAACCATGGCACTGTTGGTAAGTGAAGATCTGTAGTGTGTCACAGGATTCTGGCACTGTGCACTTGCAGCCCAGAAACTCAAGTAAATCCTGGACTGCATCAAAAGCAGCGTGGCCACCAGGTTCAGGAAGGGGTTTCTGTCCCTCTACTCTGCTCTGATGCAACCCCCCCTGGAGAACTGTGTACAGTTCTGGTGTCCCCAACACAAGAAGGACATGGAGCAAGTCCATAGGAAGGCCATGAAGTCCCTACCAAGACAGTCTGAGGAACTTGGCTATGTTCAGCCTGGAGAAGAGAAGGTTGTCGGGAGGCCTCCTAGCAACCTTCCAGTTTCTGAAGGGGGCCTACAGGGGAGCTGGAGTTCATCAGGAACTGTAGTGATAGGACAGGGAGTAATGGGTACAAATTGAAAGAGAGGAAATTAGGTTACATATTAGGAAGAACTTCTTTACTCTTAGGGCGGTGAGACACTGGGACAGGTTGTCCAGGGAGGCTGTGGATGCCCCAGCCCTGTCAGTGCTTGAAGCCAGGTTGGATAAGGCCTTGAGCAACCTGATCCAGTGGAGGGTGTCCCTGCCTATGGCAGAGAGGACTGGGAGTAGATGATCTTTACGGTTCATTCTAACCCCTTAACATTCTATTATTCTGTGATTTTCTTCTACTTGATCACATTTTGTTTTAGTGATAGAGAGGTCTCAACAAATGTTTGCTATTGTTTTCTGAGCCTTTAAGAAGAATATAGACCTACTGGATTCAAATTTGGTTTCATGATTAAATAATTGACAGGAATATAAAATTTTCTTCAGAGAAAATAGATAATTGTTTAATTGGTTTTCCTGAAGGAATGATGGTTAGAAAGTATTTTCTTGAGGATAGGAGCATTAGTAGTTTTAGTACTGTTTCTACTGTTTTCTACTGTTTCTACATCATAGCCAAAACTGATCATTTAATATACGGTATTGTATATTATTGTATATATGAATGACCTTTTTTATGAAATGCTACTTCATAATCAGTGATTCAGAAGCTACTATTAGTACCAGAATTAATCTGCTTTTCTCTGTTTTCCACCTCTCACTACCAGGAGTGATAGTTTTTGTATTTATCCAGCTGTTAACTGCTTTGACCCCTCAGGATTCAGCTGACCCTGTAAATACTACTGTGTTTGCATGGGGGCACTGCAGTTGCATTCAGGTGTTTGTAAGCTGTTTTGTTGTTCTAAGCTACTGCATATGTGTTTTGGTTATCTCTAGTTCCAGGTTTTATGTGCAAAGGTATATTCAGAGGTATTCATGTTATGTGGCATTTTGCAGCTTCAGCCGAACAGTGCATCTGGAAGTGGTGCTCTGGAACATGATCCCTCTTCTATTTATTTGCGCATCCCTGCTGGTGAAGCTGTACCTGGTCCCCTTCCTTTAGGAGTATCTGTCATCGATGCATCTGTGGCTCTCTTTGGCGTGGTTTTTCCTCATGTGTCCTACAAACACAGGTCAGTTTACATCAGTGTTAATTTTCAGAACCTAGTGCCTTACTCTCTGGATGCTATTATGTTAGTGGTTTTTTTGGTTTGTTTGTATTTTTTCCCCCTGAAATAAGAATCAACTGTGGTATCAACTGTCTTTAAATTCATAGTTTACTATTTGGTGTCCATTGTGTCTCAGGATTCCAGAATATGTCTACTCAATTTAGAAATAAGGTAATTTCCTCAGTTTTATCACTTTTGAAGATTAATGTTCAGAGGTGGAGACTAGATTCTTCTCTTTTTGTACTGCATTTAACAGTAGTAATATCTCTGCAACCAAAATTTCCTGCAAAAGTAGCCATTGCAATTAACTTCAGCCTTAAAAACAGCAGTGGCATGCATTGAATTTCATTCGACTCCCACAACTGAGACATTTGATTTATACTCAGCAGATAATTGTATGCATGATGAAAAGGAGGAAATGGAATTCACCTTATTTTCCTTTGTGTTCCACATTACCTCTACAGAGTTATGAGTTGTCAGGACTACTTTTGTCATTCAGTTTAGCTAATTTGTCACTGAGCACACAGTGAAAGCAGCTCTAAGATGCATTTCAAAGTAAAATCATCCTTCAGTACAATCCTGATGGCAACAGTTTTTTCCTAGCAGTCAATCTCATTTTGCAGCAAGGGCAGGATAGATGTGGGGCCAACTTGCATTAACTGAGCTTGATCTTTATCTATTGTTAACTATGAAAAGATTTAGCTGCAAAAGAGCTGAGTAATTAAGAACGTGGATTATTCATTACATTCTTGTTGTTGGTATCTTCTAAGGAACACTCCCCCTCCCAGTATGTTTTCTGGGTGGAAGTGGAGGGAGGAATGGAGTTTAAACAGGAAAAACAATAGGAACAATAAAATGAATATGGAGGGTAACACTATTTTAAATGGTAGTGGAAAGGCAACATTTTTCCTCTTTGGTTTCTAGTTATAAAGCCAAATGCACCTGAGGACTTAGATCCTCTTGGTGTTGTTTTATTCAAAAGGAAATGAAAAAATTTGTGGATGAACTAAAAGAACCAGCAAAGGGATGTTCAGAATAACTCTACTCTTTCTGCCTGTAGTGAATACCTTCTGCAGCCCTTGAAGCATAAATTGTGTGACTGAACTTGAAAGGTCCTTTTGTTGTGTGTGTTTTTTTATCAGCTGTGTTTTAGTTTGTATTTTGAAAGGCTATCACTTCAATTATGTTCTTTCCTTTGTTTTAGATTACAGATGTTGGATCACTTTGCTGAATGTGTCAAGCAGGCTAAAGGTGTTCGCCAGCAAGCTGTACAGCTTAATATCTTTACAGCTGTTCTTAGTGCCTTAAAGGTAAAACTTGTAAGCTTGTAATGGAAGCCAAAGTTCATCAGTTTGTATTCAATACAAAGAGCCGTTAGAAGAACCATTGCTAAAGTTACCACTCAAACATTCAAAAGTTTGAAAATACTAAAATTACATTTTTTTCCCAGATATTAGTATGAACTCTCGTCTGCGTGTATCGGCACAGAGGAGAAATGAGGCTCATGTAGTCAGCATTCTGCAATATTCAGCATTCTCTAGTATTCAGACTTTCTTTTTTAACACTTTTTCTTTTAATTATCAATCCTGTAGTTTTATTTGCACTGGACTCATGGAATTAAGTACTTTGTCATATATATTCAAAAACCCCCTCAGTATTGTGCAGATGAGGCTTGTGGAAACAAAAATACAAATATAATTGGGTTTACAGTTTGCTTACTGAATTCTATTGCACTGAGTTCTAGATGGTTGTGTGCAGTCCCACTGACTTCAGCTACAGCTCTGTGCTCTTTAGCTACAGTTGGAAATGCAGCCTCACACTATCAAGTCAGGAAGCTAGATAGCAAGCACAAATAATGCCTGCCTCCTTTAAGCTGATTGTTGCTGAAGCCTCATGTCTTTGGTTGATTGGCAAAATACATTGGCAAAACAACACCTCACTTCTTGCATTGTTCTTAGAAACGTGAACTATGTTGCTACAAGTTGAAAAGTAGATTCTGGGGCAGATTTCTGGAATCTCCCATGCCATGCCAAATGGTCAAAAAATTGTCAAAATTGAGCTGAAATAAGGATTTCAGATCAGAAAATGACAATCTATGGTAAAGCCTTTGACTTTTTCCTCTATAATACATGCAGTATTTTTACTTTATATGTGTTGAATTATTTTTCCCAGAGTAAAATACTTCTTGGAAGTTGTGAAAGTTGATGTACCTATTAATGAAATATGGAAACCAAAGAAGCTGCAGAAGCAGTGTTTAGTGTTATTGTTCTGTACAGTGTTCATTTAAGAGGCTGTATAAACGTTTGTAAAGATGTGATTATTAAGAAAAAAATATTTTCATGTACCTAAGATGTCTTCAGTGTAAGTGATTCTTGCAGAAACATAACTGAGCTGTGGTTTTCCTGTCTGACAGAAGGATGTTGCTGTTAGATTTTTAAAGCTTCTCTTTTTTTCTGAGGTGTCCTGTGTAAAGCTAGATCAGATTCAGTAGGACTAGGGTGCGCTATAATGCATTTGATAAAAAAGGTTGGTGCAACACATCTTCCTGTGTGTGAAATAGGTAGAGTGTTGGCAAACATAAGATCCAGGATGTTGTTGATATTGAGCTTTAGATGTTTTCAACCAATATATTTTAGGATGAACTACCACAAATTATAACAAAAGCAAAAGGATACAATTTTTAATTGAAGGTCTCAAATATATCTTCCCTTTTTCCCCTACATCGAATGTTGTTATTTGTTTCTTTTTCTTGTAGGGTTTAGCTGAGAATAAAAGCACCTTAGGACCAGAAGAAGTCCGCAAATCTGCTCTGACGCTTGTAATGGGTGCCCTTGATAATCCTAACCCTATTTTGAGATGTGCAGCAGGCGAAGCTCTTGGCAGAATGGCTCAAGTGGTTGGAGAAGCCTCTTTCATTGCTAGAATGGCTCAGTACAGTTTTGATAAGTAAGTCGATTCTAATTCAGAAAAGGAAATAAAATTATAATTTAATATAGTTTGGAAGATTCCTCTTCTAAATTACATATTGATTATTCTCTTCATGGTTGCTTGCTATGGTTATGTAGATCTAACAAACCTTCAAACAGATTCTTCTCTTTTCGATTTATTTTATGTGAGGAATAAAAACTGAGTTGTTAAACACACGGAATGTGAAATGATACCAGAGGATAGCTTTTGAGGAGTCACTTGAAGGTTATGAAGCTGTTTCAGATAGATAAACACAGCTTACATTAAGTATGTCTGAAATATGAGTTGTATGATAGTGGTTGTGTTTCATTAAAACATCCTCTTTACACATCGATTTAACTTATGTACTGGCCCATATTTTTTTCGTATTCTGTTGTTTATCTTGGGCCTTTAGAAAGATGTCTGGTAGAAATAACAAGACAATATGTTTCCCAATTTTGTACTTAAATTTAAGGCATCAGTCTCTTTGTGAAAGAGAATGCAACTGCCTCAAGGCTGCAGCCCATGTTTTTGGCTGGTCAGGCTGCATGCGCCTACCCTCAGTCCAGCTCTCCTACCTCTGGGCAACTCAGTTTTTCTCCTCCTTTTATTTCGTAATAAAGTACATCATGCTTACTGTCTTCCCTTGTATTTCTATTGCTGGGACTATTTTCTTGGTTTCTTATCTAGGGTAAAGTTGTTAATGATTGTCATTCTGTTGACACTGTCAAGTAATTTTTGTATGTTTGAGATGTGCATTTGCTTTGTTGTTCACTGATGACTAAGAGCATGCATGTATCTAATATACAGACAACCAGGGGAAAAAAAATCCTTCTTTGTCCTAATTAGGAAATCCTTTTATCTCTCTTCCCCACCCACTGAAAAGGTTTTTAATTACTGAGTTATGTATGTGACATGCATTCAGAAGCAGAAGTATTGTGGAAAATACTCAATAAGTCACTGCTTCATACAACTAGATCATTCAAAATGCTATATGTTCTGTTTTAGTTTCATTAATAAAAGGCTCGGTATTTAAAAAAAATTAAAATGATTTAATGGAAAAGTCATAGAAATCAGCTGTAGAAGAAAACAGCTATATTAAAACCTATACTTTGTAGTGGAAGATGTAGCTGTGGATTTTTTTGTCATTTATCAGTATGTGTTGTCATTTTTCTATTTTTGATTCCTTTTCATTCTTGATTCCGTTTTCATTGCAGTAGTTTAGCAATGACTTTTCTGATTATTAAATTAGGCTGCTGGGAAACACTGGTAAACTCTCAATTCTTTTTCTACATCCTTCCAAAACTCTTCTTCATCCAAAATGTCAAGTTCTTACCAGAAAGAAAGAAAAAAGCTATTAAAATAGCTTTTTTTTTTTACTTGTCTTTTATGTAATCTGGGTTAATAGCAATGTAGATTAAGTATATTGTTTTTGCTTTTGTTGTTAAAGCTTCTCTAGCTCTTCTAGGGTGGCCTGCAAAATTCTGTTAGTTTTTTGCACTCTTATGGTACTTCAAAGGTTCTTTGTAATGAACCTAGTGAATGATATGATTTGCTTTTATTTAACCGTTGATAGGTTAAAATCTGCTCGAGACGTTGTATCAAGAACAGGCCATTCCTTGGCTCTGGGCTGTCTCCATCGGTATGTTGGTGGAATAGGTTCTGGACAGCATCTGAAAACTAGTGTCAGTATTCTCTTGGCTTTGGCACAGGATGGAACCTCTCCTGAAGTCCAGGTAAAAAAAGCAATCACCGCAAAACTATTTTAAAATGTTCAGGATGAAAATTAACAATTAAATTACTGTTCTGTGCTTTAATAGACATTGTGATATGTAAGACATGTAGCGTGTGCCAGAGGGCATGAAGAAAGTGCAACTTTCCTTATAAACTCTTATAGTACAAAATCCCAAAAAGGTAGTGCAATTAAACCATAACCTTATAGCTAGTTAGGGAGGCAGTTGCAAGTGGTCACATTAATTCAGATGAACAAGTGTCTGCTTGTCAGCTGTGCCAGAGTAATACACTGTGATCATATTCCTAACTGACTTTAATTGTAAAGCAAAATGTGCTAGTTTTATTTTAGCTGCCTAAACAGAAATTTTAATAACTGGCTAATGGTCAACATGTGATCAGTTACTGGAGTCTCAGGTGATAGGCAGTAGTTTTCTTTGTCGAGTAATTTCTGTATATGTGATACATATGCAGTATGGCAGTACATCATCTTTGGGAGGTTATATTATGAAAACAGAAATCTGTTGCAAGCTAAACTGCAGTTAGGGGACAGAAGGGGAACTAGTAGTAGCTAAGTCTAAGACAAGCCTAAGTCGAGAAGGGTTTTCTATCTACTATGGACTATAGACATGTAAAGTCTCAAAAGAGGACAACTTGACTGCTAAAAGTTGCTGGTAGAGTAGAAAGGGGACTAAACATGCTGTTTAAAGAGTAACATTTTTGGAGTTGCTGAATATGTATAGACACTATACAGTTCAGAATGCTTCTAAAGTGAAAATACTGGAAAATTGGGAGAAAATGCTGTCTTATCTCTCAAGAGAAATAGGAGAGGTCAGTGTCTCGGTCTGTCTTTTAAGACTTCCATTAAGTGTCTGTGGCTGCTGCTGTAAAAAGAAGAGAGGGCTAGATGGACCACTACATGTGTCTTTATAGTAAGAAGTTGAATTTTAGAGAGAAAAGTGCTGATTTTTTTTTTCTCCAGCAGAGAAAAAAAGCACTAAAAGAATTACTTCAGAAGGAAAAAAAAAAGAAAAAAGAAACCTATTTTGAGTAAAAGCAAGTGTTTTGTCTTTAATTATTGTACGTCAAAGGTTATGGTGTAATTGCATAATATAATAGGTAACTCCTTGTCATTCTTTTCACAAGTTACTGCAAGGAAATGATTATCTGGAATAGTGACTATTAAGCTTTAGCAGCAGGAAGTTGTGTGCCACCCATGAGTAGGGGCACTTTATACCCACAAATTGAGAAGCTGAAGCCTCCACTAACTGTACAGAATCATACTTCACCTTGGTTTAAACTGCTAGAGTACCTTCTTATTTCTTTCTCTGAGCAATAAAAAAGAAATCAAAGTAACAAAGCTTATCACTTGGGAAAACAAGCCTAGTTTTGCTTGAAGATAATGTTTTTTAAAAAAATCTATAAATACAATTTAAAGTCTTGAATTTCCCTAGTTTACTTAAGGTAACAGTAAGTGCAGTTTGCATATCTAACTAACTTCATATATGAGTAGGTAACTCATATAATATAATTGTGCACCATTCATTTAAAAACAAAAATGGAAAGGTTATTGTTTTATGAACAAAAAAAAAGAAGTAAAATATAAAGTGGAAGTCCTACCTAAAGTGGAATATCTACCTTATTTTCTGTTGAGAATACAGCACTAGGCTGGTGGGAAAAGCTAAGCTTTTAAACCTCATCCCTCACTAGATCAGTGTGGATATACAGAAACTGTATGGAAATATGAGTAATGGAAATTTACAGGAATGGAAGGATAAACTGTTATGTGCTACCATGGGGTTAGGACTGTAGAAGTAGTTACATGATTGCTAGTGCTAATGGTCTTTGGATTGCATTAGAGACAATTGAAAAGAAGCAGTTTTAAAAGCAAGTTTTCAAGCTTATTCCTGAGGGTCTAGCTTTTTAATAGTAATATTCTTTTATCATAGTCTTTTCATGTATTTATTGTAAGAAAATTGTAAAATAAGATCATTTAGTAGGAGCTGGGGAGAGATAGCTAATGTTTTCAGGTCTGTTAGTGGAATTTTTTTCCTGTGAAATGTCAATATTCCAAAGGACTGTCCTCTTGCACACTTCTTGCTTTGGCAATTGCAATGAATTACTTTGCTCTTTTATGTACTCATCTTGCAAATGAAATGGGCCGATCTTTCACCATTTTTTTCCTCATGCCTTAGTACACTGACTGAACAGCGCTGCTTTCTTCTCTTGCAGCCTCTAATAAGAAAATTAGAAAATGCTTGTCAGCCTTTCAACTTGTCATGAAAATCAGTTCTTACTGGACTGTAAAAGGCACTTCCCACTAAGGACTTTCTAAGCTGCCCATTTCAGATGCTGCATCCAGTTTTACAGTGGAATGATTCTCTCTTTTTCCTGCCTTGAGTCACTTCTCTTTTTTCCTTTTTGTTTTAAGTAGATATGTTGTTTGTGTTTGTATTTTTCTTCCTGAAAGTGCTTAAAAATATTTTTTCTCAAATTCTTTGTCATCTTATCTCCACTGTCCTCAGAACTGCTGATAACCAAAGAGTATGTTAGGGATGTTTAAACTCAGGTGATTGCTTTTGCTCCTGAGACTTTTGAAACACTTCTGGAGTCAGAGTAGGTAACTAGACATGTTTAAGAGTGGATGTGTGGAGCTAGGCTCCATCTGCATATAAAACTAATTTCCTAAATGCATTACTAAAACAATATTCCTCTGTGTTTTTGATAGACCTGGTCCCTCCATTCACTTGCCTTGATAGTAGATTCTAGTGGACCGATGTACCGTGGGTACGTGGAGCCAACGCTTTCTCTGGTTCTTACTCTGCTCTTAACTGTCCCACCATCGCATACAGAAGTACATCAGTGCCTAGGCCGATGTCTTGGAGCTATAATAACTACTGTTGGGCCTGAGCTGCAAGGTTAGTGGGAATTTGAAGAGAGAACAAAAAAATCTACCTTGTATAAAGATGATATTGTAATCTTAAATGGAAGAGTACAAGTTTTTGTTAGTTGCAGATGGTGGCAGGTGATGTTGACTAATTTGGTTACAGTCCTGCGAGCAACCTCACTTTTGATGCTACTTATAACTGCTTGGGGCTTTTTTGACTGCAGTTAGAGATTTATATAAAAAAGTTGAAGTGATGTATGGTGTTCTGGCTAATGGCAAATTTGCTTGGTACATAAGCAATGAAACCCTTGCTTTTGTTGTGTATGTTTTTGTTGTGTAGTTGGGGGATAAGGCAAGGTTTTTCCTCTGCTTTTTTAACACATGATTATTTTATTTTTAAATGATGGCGAGAGCTTAAGTTTGAAATAATTGATAATATTGTGAACTGTAGCTCATTTCCATTCATTCTTGATATCTTTACATCACTGTACCTTACTGTAGAGACCAAGATCTTGTCATGCCAAACACTGTGTCTGAAGTTCTGTGCCTCAGGTGTTAAAAACACAGATTTGTAACTTTGTCTAACTGGGATTTTTAGGAATATTTATGGGATAGTCTTTGATGCATTACCAGAGAGCCAACTACTAGTGAAATTTTAACTCTAAATAACTGGACTTAAGTTTCTAGTTATGAAATATTTCTAGATGGTTTAATTGAACTTATGTTTTTTGTATGTTAATTAAAATTGCCTGCATACATATATGCTAGCTTGAGAGTTACTTGATATTTTAGGAAATAGTTCAGTGCGCGAAATGTTGCTCATATATATAGAAGGAAAGAGACTTTTAGAATCTAAATTGAGATAATGTTTTGATCTTCTGGGAAGATAGTCTCTAAATATTTCTGACTGGAGATTATCAATCCAGAATTTCATTTGGACAGGATATGGTTTAACTGAGCTAAAAAAGAGATACTGAAACACTGTAGTGTTTCTAATTTTTGTGGGAATTCAGAAAAATTGCATGTTAATCTGTCAGCTTTGAAGCATTAAAGCTTCTCAAAGACTTTAAGTCTACAGTTGCCATACAAAAGTTTTGCTGTGTTAAGGATATCATATTACATCATTAGGTAACGGAGCTACAATTTCAACGATCCGTTCTTCCTGTTTGGTGGGATGTGCAATCACACAAGACCATTCAGACTCACTTGTTCAGGCAGCTGCCATATCCTGTCTTCAGCAGCTTCATATGTTTGCACCACGGCATGTCAACCTGTCCAGTCTGGTTCCCAGTCTTTGCGTGAGTACAAAATGCATCCCTTTTGTTCCTCAAAGTTTTATGCATGTGTTTAGCACAGGATAAGGGGAAGTACTTAGCAAGATGTCAAGGATACCCATATCTAATAAGCATAATGTTACAGACAATGAAGTTCATACATGAATAACTAGTGCTGTTTTGAAACCTTTTCCTGTTTGTTTTCTGCTAAGCAGATGCTATTTTCATTTTCTTTTCTCATATTCCTTACTTTCAAATTATACTTAGTTTGATAGGGTTTCCTCTGAGTTGTCTCGTGCATTTCTTCATACTGCAAATATGTAGGCAAGGTCTGCCTTCCCTGCCGCATTAGCAAACTTTTCAGATTCGCTTTTAAATGGAATTAATGCCAGGTATTAAAATTAAACTGTACAGTTCTACACTCTAGTTTTAATTTCTTCTTCCTGCATTGGCTTCATAACTTCTAGTTACTTGTTTTGTAACTTGAAACAGGGAATACTCTTTACATTAATTAAATCTCCCAAATGTACTGTGTTTTAGTTCCATTAAAACAACCTCAGTGTGATGTTTAGAAATTCTTTAAAGTCTACTTGTTTTTTCAGGAGTAAAATCTTGTATATTCCTATGTCGAATATAGATTTACTGTTAAAATGCTTTATGAACTATACAATCCTTTCATTTAGGAAAGCATTTTCCATCCACATAGTAACTTAATACCAAGAAAGCAAACGTGTGTTTGGTTTATTAAAAACAAATTATCCCAAGATAAATAAAGAATCAGAGTTTTTTAAAGAGCACTCTTCATCTCTTTCACTGTGGAAAAACATACACTTCTCTGTGCAGCTACTTCCTCTCAGAAAAATAGAGACCATGCACATTTCTTCCAAAAGAAAAATATTTGCTTGCACTTGAGGTGATTCAAAGGAATTAAAAGCCAGTGTTGGTTAGCAAAGAAATCTGATGCTGTCTTACTGAGAGGCTTCTAAGAACTTACTGCTGTAAGATTCTGTTACAAATTTGAAATGGAAGTTTTTATGATAGCTGTCATGTGTGGTGCACCAGATGATGGATTTTTGTTTAAAAGAATATGATTTACAGCTATAGGAGACTATGAGGCATAGTACTACTAGAGTATAGCAGATTGGAAATGGTAATTAACCTGAATTGCACTGGCACAGTAGTTCCAATATTTAAGCTTTTATCTCTTTTAGCCAGGTAACAGCTCTATGTATGTCAGCTTTATTTTCATATTTGTATATTATCAAAAGTGCTTACTTCTGAACTTCCAGGACCTGGTACTCAGCAGCTCACACTTGGGCATAAAACTGAAAAGTAGAATGATTTTAGTCCTTAGCAGCATCGATTTACTGATACTGGGGTGCAGCAGTTCACTCATCTGTAATGGTTCTGATTTTTAGGTTCATTTGTGCAGCTCTCACTTGCTGCTTCGCCGGGCTGCAGTTGCGTGTTTACGACAGCTTGCTCAGAGGGAAGCCTCAGAAGTATGTGAATATGCCATGAGCTTAGCAAAAAACACTGGAGACAAAGAAAACAGCGGCATCAGTACGTATTTCTTACACGTGGCCTTTCTGTAACAGCTGAGTGTGCATGTGGGCATTATGTGTGTGCCTTTAGAAAGAGGGGAAAAAAAGCTGAAACACCCGCTTCCCCCCCAAGTGAAGAAAACCTTAAAACTGTCCCTTCCAGCTTCAATACATTCTGGCCACACCCCTGATTACCTCTTGAATTTCATTTAAAATTTAGCTGCTTGTTAAGCTCGGAGTTAAACCTCTCTACCTCATTAAAGCTGGCAATCAAATAGGGAACACAGTATATATACAGCAGAAACATTTTACAGTTTTTCTGGTATTTCAGCTCTTGTTATTTTGAAAATTGACTTAATTGTTTGCTGTTTGATCAAGATATTTGGTTCTGTTATGTTATGTTAGCACCACATCTGCAAAGGTATAGACTTTGCTGGTTGATTCAATTCTTAGATGTATAATTTTATTTTGAAAATAGGAGGCTCAGCACAGTCTTCATTCAAACATAGAATCGTGAGCTTACTCATTAAATCACATCAGTTAAATCTGTCTCTGGGAAGATTCTTTAGAGTCCAATACTACTAGGTTTTTTTTACAAATTTAGGGGGTATGTACCTTGAAAAAATAGTGAGATTTTTTTTTTACTAGTACTTGGTAGTGTTATTTCCCTTGCAGATAAAATTAATTGCTGTATTAAAATATTTCTAGTGTTGATTCAGAAAAAAATCAGTGACATCTTAATGTATCATTGACTGGACTATACACACACAAATACACAATATCCAATTCTAGTCTGTTCTTCTGAATTTTAAAACTGAACTACTGATTTCAGAAAAGATTTCTTATTATCACTTTGCAGACATTAATCCTTTTGCACCAGGAGCTGGTTCTCGTCGAGATGCTCATTCCCGGCATCAGGGGGTTAATATAACAGAGACAGGCCTGGAAGGTGTCCTTTTTGGAATGTTGGATCGGGAGACTGATCGGAAGTTGTGCTCAGATATCCACGACACTCTGGGACATATGCTTTCATCGCTGGCAGTAGAAAACCTTTCTCACTGGCTAATGCTTTGTAAGGATGTCCTTGCAGCTTCAAGTGGTAAGTGTTCTGTATTGTTCACAGAAACAATATGTTCTTAGTATTAGCGTGTTCTAGCAATATTGATTTGGAGCTTGTCTTTTATCCTAGTTAAGATATAGGTTATATTGCATATAGAACTTTGATTACAGTGCATTAAAAATCCCTTAGAAAGAAGAAATCATCAATGTTAAGTTTCAGAATATTGTTTTTAAGATTAAAACATAGGTTGCTTAAAAGAGGATTTCCAAGGGAGAAGCAGAAGTAGTGTGTTTATAACTCTGACATTTCAGTATCTTAGTGAAAGCAGACATTCTTTTTAGCCATTATACATCAAGATTGTACAGAAAGAAGAGTGCTGTATACATTCTGAGTTTTCTTTTATGAGGTTTTTTGAGTTACTGATGTGATGATGGGTTACCATGGTGATGAAACTTTTGTTTGTTGCTCAGCTTCTCAAGATTTGTTTGCACAGATTTTGTCCTCTGTGACCTTATTCCTGTTTTTCAGCTTGTAGGGTAGTTGTGATGAAGATTCTGCTCATTTCCCTTGCACTTATACTTGTTTATTGGCATGTGTGAGTTTGAGTTCATCCTGAAGCTGTTTCTAAGTGCTGCCAGCTTTACATTTGCTGATGAGTGATGCTACCAACAATTTCTTTCTGTATTGTAGTTACCACATATCTGCCCAGTGAGAAAGACCTCATTTCTCAAGTTTGAAGTTGGCATGTCCTTTTATTATTTCATATGGGATGGGTCTTAAGGTTTTTAACATGGTTGTCCAATTTCTTATTTATTTATTAGTAGGTGACATAATCTCAGAGAACCGTATTTAAATAAATTTCTCTCAGGTGTGCTTTAAGCCAACAACTTCACTTTGAACTCCTTTGATCCAAAATCTTGCTTTTTGAGCAGAGATATACAAATCATCTGCATAAGATCCTGCATGCCCTTTCAAAACACTGTTGTTATGAACTGGTGTCATCCATGTTTGATTTGCCACAGCCTTTTTCTTTATTGAATGTCTTGGGTCTTCAGTAGTTTTAATTTAGACTTTCTAAGAAGCATACCTCAGTTGGGATGGGTTACCCTTGCAATAATTTCTTCTCGTTTTCCTCTAATTATTTCTGGAGTAATTTTTGTCAGTATCTTGGCATTCTGCTAAATTAGACTTTGTCATAGAGAACTTATGTTCTCGTTTCTGAGTAGCAGAAGTGTATATGTGTGTTTGGTGAGGTGTTTTTTTGTCCCTGTTTGGCTTTTGATTTTTTATGTGATCCCTGAAGCAATTTTATTTTCTGAAATGAAGTTGCAAAGCCACACTTAGAGAAAAGAATTTTTTTAATGTTAATTACGTTTTTGGGTGCCATAAAGTGCCAACTTGGCTGTGTATCTGTCCCATGACATGGAGCTTTGTAATTTTGTTTCAGTTTAACTGGCACTTTATCTTTTACTTGAAACAGAGACTGAATAATTCAACGCTAAGCTGATTCTTGATTCTGAGCCTGATAATCTCCTTACCCTGTTTATTGGCAATTTAATGGGTTAATTTTCAAAGCTGAGAAGTTTAGATATGGGATTCAACTGTAGTTGGTGTCTGTGGCAAATGGATGTTACAGGAATTTATTTCATATTGTTTAAGATAAATAAAGGGTAATATAACCCAGATTAGAGGTGAAAAATATTTCTTTTACTGATGATATTTCTTTACTTTTTGACGTGTGTCAAATGTTGTTTTAATGGATGAATTAGTCTGTTCTGAATCTCAGTGTAAGGAAAGACTTGAATTCTTGTCCTTAGGTGTGTTTTATGGATTGTAACAGTGGGATTTTTTTTCCCTTTTAATTGTTCTCTGTTGTAGACATGAGCACTGCTGCTCCCTTAGGAGGGAAGGATGAGGAATCAGAGAAGAAAGATGAGATGGATGATGATACAATGTTTACCACCTTGGGTGAAGAGGATAAGTCCAAGCCTTCTGTAGCGCCTCGTTGGGCAACTCGTGTGTTTGCAGCAGACTGTCTGTGCCGAATTATCATGCTGTGTGAGAATGCCAACAAGGCACACTTCGATCTGGCACTGGCTCGTTTAGCCAGACTTAAAAACCCAAAAAGTAATTACAGAACATGCATGTTTTGGTTTTGGTTTTAATTTTTTATTTTATTTTATTTTCGACACCTCTTTACAGCTTAAGATTACACAATCAAGAAAAAAAGTATAAGCACTTATCCTTTCATGGCCAAACCCAAAGGAAATGTCCAGCAAAAGTCAATAAAACTGTAACCATATAATACTGTAATTTCTATACCATGAACACAAAGAATGAGGTTTGGTGGAAAATGTAAATTCTAACAGACTCATGTGCTTAGGGAAAAAAAACGCCTAGATATGCAAACCTTTTCTCAAGTCTGAAACAGAAGCAATAAACTTGTAGCTAAGGGCAAGCTGGGAATGGTTTCACAGTTTAATGTAATGACAGAATGAATTGAATTTAAGAGATTATGTTATCATCTCCAGACTGAAGGGGTGCCAGGAAAGAAGAAAAGAGGACATAAGGCTACATAATTGACTGTGGAGAGAGAGATGTGGGAGGGAGTTATAAAAAGACATGGGCTTTTAAAAGTCCATTCTTTTGGTATCCATGAGAGTTATCCCATGAGCTTGGTTTTCAAGCTCATGTTTCAGACATACTTTTATGAGTCAGAGAATCAAAATTGAGAGGTCATATCTCACATAGTTGTTTTCTGAAGAAATGGTTTTTGAACAGATAGTGGGAGGCTTCTGTCCTTAAGTTGTCCATGTTGTATTGGTTGTGCTGTTGTAATGATTGCTTGTGTTCACAAATGTAGTGAGGACCTTGTGTATATAGGATGAATGCTGTGAGCATGCCAGAATGCATGAGATCAATGGATTTTAGTGTCTGTGTCATTGAGGTTAGTGTCTGTTAGGATATGGAGAGTTACCAAGTCTTTGCCTATGTTGCTTTGGTGCAGCCTGGTTCCAGCACTGTGCATTGGTTTTGTGAGAATCTGGTTTTTGACTTGATTTGAGGCTGAGGTTACTGTTTGAAGACTAGAAAGGAAGAGTTTGGGCAAAGTTTATTTTGAGATGGCATTGTATTACAGAGAAAATCAGGAAATAACTGCTGCTTATAGAATCCTACAGAGGATTGCATATTATAATCATGAGAATTTATATCTCTGAATTTATTTAAAGTGAACTGTGATGTGTTTGGTATCATTGTAAAAAGGAAAAGTCAGCAAACTTCTACCCCCCAAATTCAGCTTCAAAAATACTCAAATTTTACTACTGTCTTTGATGGTCTGAAAAAGTAAGTGCAGACTTCATCACTTTATAGTTTTTATGTGATTTCCAGTCCTTCTTTACTGACATGCCTCTGAAAAGCTTCAGCCACAAAATAATTTTTCTTTTTTTTACCTTGAGACTTGAAAATAGCTTAGACAATTTGTATTTTTTGTTAGTCACACTTGATTTTTAAAGTAATTTATTTTCATATTAGTTGTACAACATACGGTAGTTTGAAATTGAGAGTAAGAAAATAAATAAACTGAATAAATAGAGAAGAATAATCCTTTCAGAAATGTTACTGGGTTAAATATTGTTCTTTACTGCTTGCTTATGGCCTTGAATGTGGTTTTTGGGAGCAGAATTAGAGGCATACTCGGTTTTAAGTGTTTAAGCTTGACATCAGCAGGGGTCACTATAAGCATAGGACTTGAGCAGGAGCAGGAATTGCCTTGAAGACTTTCTGTAGGTTTTATGAAATGTTTTAATATATTCTATTCTACTTAACCACACTTACATCCTCTATTCTATGCAATTTCTGCTCAATTTTTAAGGTTGTTTTAGGAATAGAAGTCATAGAATCACTTTAAGGGGGGAAGGGTGAACAAGAATACTAGGTGACATTCTTTCCTGCCTTCTTCCACACCTTAAATGTGGACCTTTGAAAACTGATAGGTAAAAGTTATACATGTCAGTGAGGAAAATGGTACATGTATCTGTCAGTGAGGAAAATGGTACATGTATCTGTCAGTGAGGAAAATGGTACATGTATCTGTCATGTTAGCTGTCTTTTAAGTTACTAAATAGTTCTTTCTGTTCTGTTCTAAGATGACTTCTTAGTACTCCATCTCTCTGACCTTATTCGAATGGCATTCATGGCTGCGACTGATCACAGCAACCAGCTACGAATGGCAGGTCTTCAGGCTCTTGAAGACATTATCAAGAAATTTGCATCTGTTCCTGAGCCAGAGTTTCCAGGCCACGTGATACTGGAGCAGTATCAGGCAAATGTGAGACCTCCTTTATAAGTTCGGGAAATTGTGTATTTATTTCAATATGCCAGTATTAACTTTGAGAACATTTTGTAACTTTTGTAACTTCAAAAGACCTGTGAGGAGATTTTTCTGTGTGTGAAATTGTGCTGAAGAGACACACTTATTTATCTCTTCAAGTTTTATTTTTGTATCTCTTTTTATTTATAGTAGTTCAGTAGCTGACAAAATGAAAAATTCAGTAGCTTGAAAGCCAAATGTTGTAAGTTACATTAAATTTTTGGCAAAAGTGGCTTTTCATTTGTAGAATTAGGAATTGGAAAATACATCAGAATCAGTTCTAGATATAATCTAATAAATCTGTTTTCTTGGAAATGAGTGAATATACTTCTGTTTAAAAGAAAACTACAAAAGTATACCAGTGGGAAATGGGCAGTTGAAGATTTATTTTGGGGTATTACTGCTTTTTTTTCTTGCATAGCCGAATATTTTCACCTCCTTTGTCTTCACTGTGTCTTCAAGATCTTTTTCAATACTTTTTAAAGGCAGACTTTCATACTTTTCACTTCCTGCCCTTTTTTTTCCTTCCTTCTGTGGAGCTGTAGCCATTGCTTCTTCTCTTTGACTTGGTTCCTTTTGTTTCAGAAAAATGCTGCCTTATAGCAACTGCCTAAAAGGCTTTTTTTGGTCAGTATTTGTCATTTGAGGAACTTGATGCAAATCCAGTCATAAACATTTGATTTCACACTTCTATTCCTTTGGACATCAAAAGGTCATTGGCTTATTGAGCCTTAGCAAAAATTTCACCTGTAATACTTGAATGACTAAAAGGATATTCATTAATGTAAGATACTACCACATATTTGACAAAGGTAGTTGAGACTTAAAAATTACAATGAGCAAGCAGGAAAAAGGTGGTTTAAGACTTTGTAGTTGTTGTTTAAAGAATGGTATTGCAAATATGTTCTAGACAGCAAGGATACGTTTGGGTTGTAACTATAATGCCAAAATTAGGAATTTTGTCTTACTTGTTTTGTATTGGTCCTTAAGCCTTTAACAAGATGAGATAAACAATGTTGTATCCCTATTGTTTTAGTTGGATTTCTTAATTTTTCTTCCTATCAATAGGTTGGAGCTGCTCTGAGGCCAGCTTTTTCCCAAGATACACCATCCGATATAACTGCAAAGGCCTGTCAGGTACGGAGGAAAATGTTCGGATACTATAAGCAAAAAACTAATTTTCCTTCTCTTTGGAAAAAGGATGCAAAAGAGAAGAAGTATCAAATGTCTGGAAGATGTTGTAAACTTAGGCTGTGATGTTTTTGCATCTTTTGAGTTTTCTAGTAATGTATTTTGTTCCTCAGAAGTGCAGAAGTCCTTTTAGGGAGCTACATAAACATGTCTGAAACTAATTATGTCTTCATGTCAATTCTGCGTTTGTTGCTACAAGAAAAAAAAAAAGGAAAAAAACCTTTACTTAATGAGACCAAGAGTAATGTATTTATTGAGTTTTCTTTCAGTCTGATCAAATACTTGGATTACTAATAATGCACCTTCCAACACTAAACTTCCATTCAGTTTAATACTCTATTTTAGATTTTACAATTTAGAAGATCTGAACATTCTCACTACAACCATAATAAACCTTGTTAGTGAAATTTTGGTAATTTTTTTTTTTGCACATGTGTGTTTTTTTTTTCTTGTGTGTGATCTTGCATACTGTAGTTTAAACCAACTATCAGCAACATAGCTGTGGTAGTATCTGGAATGTGTTTTGCACAGTGAAATTACTACTGTAGTTTAAAGCAGCAGTTTAATTATCTATGCAAACATCAGTTTTGAAACAGTAACACTGTGTACGTGAGTTTTATGTAGTGAATTTGGTCCAGAAGGAGTGTGACTTTGTCTTGTTCTTTTATGATCTTAATTTCCAGCAAAACTTGTAAGGATAGATCAAGTACTGCATAATTTGGTATCTTACACGTAGAAAAGTCTATGTCCATCCTGACTTACAGAATGTTTCTGTACATTTAAAACTAGATGAAGAGGCAGTTTGTGTGAAAACTTATTCTGTGTAAGTTGTCAAAATCTTCTCTGTTCAGCTGGTTTCAAAGTGGATGTGTGCATGTACAGGATCAAATGGTTAAAGATTAGTTTTGGATATTGAATTCTCTCTAGAAGTTACATGGACAGAGAGAAACTTTACTGAATGAGTTGGATGTTGTTATTTTTATGTATTTATATGAATGAAACAGGTGTTGACTTGCTGAGCAGCAGGATTGAAGCTGGTCTTAGTCCTACTGCAAATGAATAATGGATTTGTGAGATGTTTTCAACAGCTTTGTCCTGTACATCTTTGGGACACTTTTGATGTTTGTTTTTACATTATTTTAAATATGTCCATCATTCCAGATCATGAGAGTCCCTTCCCCAAAGGCTTTCATGGAACTGGTTCTCTAGAAGCAAAATAAAAATTGGAGATTGGTCAAAAATGCCTTGGAAAAAGAGTTTGTAAAACCTGAACTGCTTGGTTTTTTTGCTTCTGTTCCTCATCGTTGTAGAATCATCACCAGAATAAGAGCAGTTCTTCTGAAAGAATTTGTCCCTTTTTATCTTTGTAGAAAAGCAGTTGCACCGAAATTCTTCTATTGTCTGCATTATGCCTGGGCATGAATGTGTTTCAGAGCATGAATGCCAATGTATAGCATTAACCAGGAGCAGCTGATCTGTGTGATGCTTGTTATTTTAAGTACCTATTTGGATCCATTCAATTCAAATAAAAAGTGAAGAGACACCCAACTGTCTGTCCACTATGTCTCATATCGATTATTCTAGATATAGAACTGTTGGTTCCAAATCATAACTCAGTTTTTCAAAGATTTGTATTTCACTCATTTCTAGGTGTTTTCTTGACGTTAGTGATTTGAAAGCTTCTCATTAGTATGGAGCCTTATATATTAATTGGAGAGGCATGGGTTTCTAAAGATGTACTTTTATTGATTGCTGTCCAGTATATTCTTCACAGGGAATGCAATGGCACATTACCTGAACGATTTGACCAGACACTTGGGAACAGAATAAAAAAATTGTTACTATGTATTTGTGGGGGATTAAAAAACTATTTTAAGTATTAACATGCATTGCAAATACAACCTTTGTAACGACTTATCTGAGCAGTTCTGTTGTCATGGGTGGGAATTAAAAAAAGGAAAACCTCAGGTTTATTTGTGTTAAGCAGGAAGAGAGTGGCTAAGTTTTTGGTGTTGATTGTTCTAGGTTTTGTTTTCTTACTGATTAAATTTTTTTGTTTATAAGGTTGCTGGGTTTTTTTGCTAGTTTAGAATGATTCTAAACTTTGTTTTCTAGGTATGTAGCGCTTGGATAGGAAGTGGGGTTGTAAGTGACCTGAATGATCTTCGCCGAGTTCACAACCTTCTTGTCTCTTCCCTGGATAAAGTGCAAGCAGGAAAGGGATCTTCTAGCCAGCTTTACCGAGAGAGTGCAACTACTATGGAAAAACTTGCAGTTCTGAAAGCATGGGCTGAGGTAAACATTGACCATTAAATCTTTGAAAGATTGAAAACATTTTACAGGGTAATAGCAGCCTCACACCTCCCTGGCTGCACCTGTCCTTCTAACCTCCTAACCTGTTGCACTTTCACTCCTGGGATATTTTAATCTCTATATCTTTCTCTGTTGCTTTTTCTGCCATTCTGTGAATCAATATTTACAGTGAGGCTTGATTGTTCTTTGTTTTACTGTACTTTTCTGTATCAAAATACACACTCATACCCTATCACATTTTGAATTTCTTCTCATCTTATTACTCTTAAACTTAAAAAACCCTCCAGAACCAAGCAAACAAAAAGCAAACCCTCCTCCCCCCAAAAAAACGCTCAGAAATCAAACAACTTTGAAATATATTCTGGCATAATATTGCAATTAGTTAACTAAGAGTTTGTCAAAGTGTTCCTGATTGACATGTTTTAGAAACAAAAGTGCATAGCCAAAATATTTTAAGAAAGTGCCATTTATGACCCTGTTACATATGAACTGGTAGAAATAAAAGGTAAAAAATAAATAAAATGTAGTTGTGTTGAAAATCTCAGTCATTTTCTGGTGAGTTGTAAATGTATGGAATCTGTTACATTCACAAGGGAAAGGCTGCTGCTTTTTCTTTTAAAAATCTCACAGCACGTACTTTCATATCTTCTAGGTGTATGTTGTTGCCATGAAGATTAAGAAAGAAGCAGAGACCAAACCAAAGCGTGTTTTAAAGAGCACAGAGGAGGATGACGATGATTTTGGTACTGTAGATGAGTTGCCACCAGACAGTTTGATCACACTTGTACAACCTGAACTGCCTGCGCTCAGCCGACTCTGGTTAGCAGCGCTGAAAGATTACGCTCTTTTAACTTTACCAGCTGAATTTGCTACCCAGCTTCCACCAGATGGTAAGCACTGAAAGAAAACTGTAGTTGAACCTTCAGAATTATTCTATAAATTACTTGGCATGCATGTTTTTTTGCAAGTGAAAAATTTCTGCCTGATAGAAATATGAGTTTCAACTTCGAGCTTTTTTCCTTCAATCTGAATGAATAGACTCTTTATCTGAATTACTGAGGTCATTAAAGTGATGTCTTTGTAGAATTAAGAATACGTCTGCACTTCTAATACCTTGATATGAAATGCAAAAAGATGTTATTGTAAGAAAAACACAGCCCCCAAGATGAGAGTGGATATGTCTTACATTATTTTACTGAGTTAAGAATGAATGTTCTATATGAAAAATGGTGCAAGACCTGATGACTGTGCCTGCCTTTGCTCTCCGCTCACTGCTTCATCATGGCCGGCGTGCTTTCTTATGAGAGGTACTGATGTTGCTACAATGTTACTACACAATTGGAATTTACTCTCACTAACAAGTGTTTTACCTGAATGTTTACATGACCCAACGCACCCTGAATAAATATGCTGATAAATTTAAAGTACATGCTTGTTGTCTATTATTGGCAGATAATTTTAGAATTTACCTTTGCCTTGCTAATTTAACAGGAGGAGCATTTTACACTCCAGAAACAATTGATACAGCTAGACTGCATTACCGAAACTCCTGGGCTCCCATACTACATGCAGTGGCACTTTGGCTGAACAGTACAGGATTTAATGTGCCAGAGTCAACAGAAGAGACTGCTGCAGCAATGCCCAGTTCACAGAAACGTGCTACATCCATTATGTTAAACCAGACACCTGGAACTCCACCTGCCACTAAATCTTTGCCAGAGATAAACAAAGATCGAATGCACTTAATTTTGGGTAAGAGTTACAAGTTAAGAGCTCAGTAGCAGCACATTATGGTATGAAACGCTATGGGAATAAGAAAAGATACTTTGCCTGAAATCTAGGAGGTTTAAGATGCATTACATGTCTGGACATTAATGTTTTGAAAATCTGTGTCTCCTTTCTATCTCTGTTTGTTGTGTTCTTTATAGCATTGGCAGAATATTTGTCAGTGTGATTATTGTGATTTTTATGGATAAGTTGTATATCTAGTTTATTTATGTAATTAAATAAAATGAGTAGGAACTGTTCTACACTGTAATATACTCAACGCTGGTGAGGCCACACCTGGAGCGCTGTGTCCACTTCAGGAAGGACATTGAGGTGCTGGAGCAGGTCCAGAGAAGAGCAACAAGGCTGGTGAAGGGACTCGAGCACAAGTCCTATGAGGAGAGGCTGAGGGAGCTGGGGCTGTTTAGCCTGGAGAAGAGGAGGCTCAGGGCAGACATCACACTCTACAACTCCCTGAAAGGAGGTTGTAGCCAAGTGGGGGTTGGTCTCTTCTCCCAGGCAACTATCAGCAAGACAAGAGGGCATGGTCTTAAGCTGTGCCAGGGGAGGTTTAGGTTGGATATTAGGAAGAAATTCTTTACAGAGAGGGTAATCAGGCATTGGAGTGGGTTACCCAGTGAAGTGGTGGATTCACTGTCCCTGGAGGTTTTTAAGATGAGATTGGATGTGGCACTTAGTGCCATGGTCTAGTAACCACGGCAGTAGTGGATCAAGGGTTGGACTTGGTGATCTCAGAGGTCCTTTCCAACCCAGCTGATTCTATGATTCTATAATACAGATGATACAAAATTTTGTGCTTTAAAGATGCAAAAGCCGCAGGGTTAATTAAAATACCCTTATAAAAACACTGTTCAGCAGTGACTGATATTTGACAATTCACATGAGTAGCTTTTGTATCAGTTTTTCATCTGTGAGCAGCACTCACTGTTGTCCTTTGTTGTTACCTAACACCTTTAAGGGGTGGATGTGATCTGAGAAATGCCAACAGTTTCCTGAGATATGCAGATATTTAAAGCCAGAATAAAGTACCATATGTATAATATGAATATTGCATATTTTTTGAGGCTTAACTTCATCTCATTTATCTTTACATTTTAAAGAGTTCAAGAAAATAAAATGCAGTTTACAACTGAAGGATTCAGAAGTCTGACTTAAAGATCTTTAGATTTAGATAGATTTCTGTTCAGTAGTCCAAGTTGCTTGTTGTCACTGTTGTTTGTTTTTTTTATCCTGCCAAATTTTTGGGAAGACATGGTGCAGAAGAGGAAGCAAATGCAGTTTTGGTCATTTTAATGCATAGAGTCTCTTTTCTTTTAAAGGAAGAAAAATTGAGAAAAACACATATCTTTCTAAAGTGGTTAAGAACCTGCTATATTTTAAGAAAAATTTAAAAAGAAAACTTGATTTTATGATGATATGAACATTCTTTTTAATTATTGCTCTTTTCAGGTGTTAGTATACAGTTTCTGTGTTCACCACGACCTGAAGAGCCTGTTGAGCATGTTACATCTTGTTTACAAGCACTTCATACTTTATTGGATTCCCCTTGTGCCAGGATCCATATTGCAGAGGATCAGGTAATGTATGATCATGTTGTGACAATCAGCTTTTTCTAGGTCTTGGTCTTTCCTCTATGATGATTACAAAAACTGTAATTATTTTTCATGTGAGAAAAGTATTTGCTCCTCATAAACAAGTGACATAACAATCAGGAATCATTAAGTCCTAATTAATTTTTTTATATGTATTTTGCTTTACTGTAGCTCCTTGGTGTTGAACTCTTGAGTGTGCTTCACCGACTGCTCCTGACCTGGGATCCTCCCTCAGTCCAGCTGCTGGTTACAGGTGTTGTCCAGCAGATAGTAAGAGCAGCTCAAGATTATTTGCAGGAAAAAAGAAACACACTAAGTAAGATTTTGAAAATGTGGCTTGCTTTGCAGAGTAAATAAGTAACAGGTTTTCATCTTGGGAAAGGAACTCAATTGCATTAGAGTGTGGTTACACTGAGGAGGAAGATGCTGTGTATTCCACAGATAATTTTGTTTGTATTCGTAATTACCTGCTGATTTCTTAGCTCTTGTAAGATGTAATTTTTCTTCCTCTGATCATTCTAGTGGTTATTCTTTTCATGTCATTGTTTTCGTTCTTTTTTCTTGAGTGGTGAAAGTTATACCCAGCACGCCACTTAAGGTCTAGGACTTTCTAATACCTTGCTCAGTTTCCTTAAGGTTTCTCTACTAACTGCCTCCTTAGCACTTCGTTTGCCTTTTTTTCTGAAGTTCAGTTGTTTAGTCACTGGTGTAGGGTATTGTGGTGTGTCCCTGGCACAACTGGCATTCATGAAGTGAGTGAACTGCTAGTGGAATCAGGATGAAAAGTTGCCTGCCCAGAAGATCTTGCCAGGAAGTGGAGCAAACTTGCACCTGGGTTCTTACTTCACTGACATTCAGGGCATTCAGGGTGTGTCAGCAACCAGGAGCTCTGGGAACAGGGTGTGCAAACAGAAGCAAGGCAGTTGACATGGAAAGGCATGCTTATGCAGCCCAGAAGTGCTGCTCAAGACTGTACAAGACTGCTGGAGTCAGCATAATGGTGGCAGTGACATACAACAAGACACATTCTGCTGACTGAGGAGTAATCACCTTGGTACATCAGACGTCTACTGACCGCGCTGGAACTTCAGATGAAAGTGCTGATGTGACTGTCCTCCAGATGCTTGTCTGTGCAGCTAGGGCCAGAGGTGGCATTGATCTCACCTGTGAGACGTGAAGGAAATGTATGTGAAGGTGAGCAGAGTGTATGATCTCTGAAAAGGCAATGGAAGAATGAAATGTTCTTCACAGAGGTCCTGCAGGTGCAGGGCTGAAGTCCCATGTTTCTCAGGAAAGGCAGCCGTAGGCTATGCTGGAATATGGCCTTGGAGGATGACACTTGCATGAAGGTGGCAGCTACAAGATGGTGACTTCAGCAACAAAAGGCTCTATCTCCAGATACCCAGTTGGAGAACACTACAGAGATCTGCCAAGAGAGGAGGAGCCAGTTCTGACCCACTTTGATGGGTCAAAACTGATACCACTTAGAAGTAGTCAGGAGCTGTCTTCTTGTTTGCCACAGGCTGCTTAATCAAGAAGGGAAGGTGGGTGAAGCCATATTAAAACAACTGGAAGAAGCTTCCAATCAAGCTGTAGGAGCCTTGAGAGAGGCTTTTGCCATCCAGTCGTGTGCTGGAAGGGTGACACTGCAGGATGCTAACACTGAGAAGTGTATGAGGCACAGGTTTTTTAAGTCCAAATAAGGGAGAGGCTCAGTGGATTTACTCCTCACTAAGAAATGGTTATGAAGGATAATGGTAGTTGTGGCTGCAGCAGCTATGTGATAGTAGGGCTCATGATCTCAAGGGAAATGAAGAAAGCAAGCAGCAGAGCAAAAGCTTTGGCCTGACTTAGGAGAATTTGGCTTGTCAGGGAGTGTGTAGACGAGACTTTTGTGGTAAGCTTCCCTGAAGGGCAAAGGAAAGAGGGATTGTTCATCTTCGATGACAAAATAAAGCTCATTCAAAACCATCAGCGGGAGGCTGACTTGGCTGAACAGAAACTTCTGATCAAACTCAAATGTGACAAGGAAGTATATGAATGGTGGAAGTGGGGCCAGACTACCCAGGAAGACTCCTGAAGACTCCTGCTTGGGTATGGTGGAGTGGAATTGGGAAAGCCACAACTTAGCTGGAGCTAAATGATGGTGAATGTCAAGTATGGCAAGAAGGACTTTTATAGATATGTTGGCAGCAAAGAGATGAAGGAAATTTGGACCCGCTGCTGAATGGAATGAATGATCTAATGAAAAAACATGGTGGGGGAAAAACCGAGGCACTATTATCTTCTTTGCTTAGTCCTGCTGTGTCTGTGGCTAGTGAGCAAGTTTAGGGAAGAGAAATGCTACCTGCAGCAGACAAGCATCAGGTTAGGGACTGCTTACAAAACAGCTGGACATACCCTGGAACCAGATGGGATGCATCTGAGGGAGCTGACTGATGACATGCTAAGGTTGTTGCAGTTACCTTTGAAAAGCTGTGGTGCTCCAGAAGGCTTTCCAAAGAATGGTAAAAACCAGATGCTATGGCTAACTTTGAAAAACAAAAGATGTAAGGTGGATTTTTGGGATACTATCTTGCCAGTAAGCCTGCTGTGTGTGTTGAGAAAATTCCTTTGGAAACCACTTCTTAGTACATGAAGTAGAAAAATGTGATTTGAAATTATGAGCACAGGCTTACCAAGGACAAATAATGCCTCATCCCCCTCTGTGATGAAATAACTGGCTTTGGATGTGGAATGGTGGATATTTTGCAAGGCTTTTGACCCAGTACTTCATAATATCATTGTCAAATTGGAGCAGTGTCGACTGAAAAGTGGGAGAACAACTGGACTGCTGTGCTTGAATGGAGTTCAGAGATTCAAGTCTGACTTGCAGCTGGTTGCAACTGGTGTTTCTTAGAGATCAGTATTGGCCTGCTACTGTTAAACATCACCATGAACAACCTGGATGATAGGACAGAGTGCAGCCTCAGCAAATTTGTGTATGATACCAAATTGTGCAAGTGGTAGATATGCTGGAGGGCAGTGCTGCCTTTCAGAGGAATTTTGAACTGCAGAACCGAGAACCTGCTGAAGTTCGGCAAAGACAAATGCAAAATCCTGCACTGGGATGGAATGTGCATTGGTATAGGCTGGCAGGCTGACAGATTGGATAGCAGATTTGCCAGATAGTGAGTGGTGTATGTGAATCTGTAGTATGAAACCTATGCAATGCTGGAGAGTCTGTTACTGGGCTGTGTTAGAAAAGCGTGACCAGTAGATTAAAGGGTATGGTTGTCCTTTCAGCTTGAGCTTGTGAAGATGCATCTGGAGCAGTGTCTAGTTTTTTTCGCCCTTCCTTCTCATTCTGAATAGGAGGCATGTTGACAAACATGAGGGAAGTTCAGTGAAGATCCACTAAGCTGCTTAGGGAGGTGAAGTATGTGACCCCATGAGGAGAGGCTGAGAGAGCTGAACGTGTTTAGTCTGCAGAAGGGAGGGTTAATATGGGATAGAATAGCAATCCCCCTTCTTAAAAGGGATTTAAATACAAGGCCAATCCAGAGACTTCTGAAAGGCATGTGGTAGAAGAACAAGAGGCAATGGACACAAATTGCAGTAATGGAAGTCCAGATGGGATACAAGGAAAAAATTAGTCATTGTGGGAGTGGTGAAGCAGTAGAACAGATGTTCAGGGATGTTGTGGCATCTCCATGCTTGCAGATATTTAACACTGAACCAGGAGTCTGAAACTAGCATCAGTCTGAAAGCTACTTTCTGAGGTACTTTTAGTAACCTCTTCCTTTTAGCAGAGAGTCTCCCTGTTCAATCATCCCTTTACCATTTCTTTAAAAATCTCACATGTACTGTTTCCATCTTTGCTAGGTAAACTAGTTTCCAAGAGGCAACCTGGTTAAGTTAGGTCTGCTGTATTTTCTGTTACCTGAAAGAAGTGAATTGAAACCCAAAGAATATTCTCTTACTACGGAAAATTACTATCTTAATCTGGCACAATATACTGTTCATAAAAAAAAAACCCCAACTGATAGCTTTTGCCCATTTTCCACATAAAAACAGGGAGAGGATTTTGCTGGAACTCAAGCCAGCACAAGTGAAAATGCAGGCTCTGTTCCTTCATATGAATTAATGGAATTGTTTGCTGTCAGCCCAGTAAGCTGCATTTTTCAAATCGATGAATGTGATAACAGTAGCAATCATTTAAATTCGTAGGAGCTATATAGGGGAAGTTCAGGCCAGCTTTGACTTACTGAATCTCTGTTGCTGTTTACTGGGAGAAGGAAAGACTGCAGCTGGCCAAGCTGCCATCAAAAGAGAGGCTTTTTGAACTGAATACACTCAAATCATGAACTCAGACATAGAATCCTACAATGCTTTTCTGTTCTCTTATTTCATAATCAATTTAGGCTGGAATAAGATTTTGTCAGGGTGGAACATATAATTAATAGCTATCAAATTAAAAAAATATTGTCCCGCCTGTTTATTTGGCAGCCATTGCTGTTAATTTTATAATCAGTTTTAAAAGAAGCAAAATAATTAACTGCAGTTTTATTGTGTGTAAGAATACTCTTTTTTTCTAGTTCTGGATGGATTTTTAGTAAGTATTGTTGCAATCACAATACTTCTGAAGCATTTTAAATGCCTGTAAGTCATTCTAACTAAAACATTTAGTTTGACATGAGCTGTATTTGTGCTATCTTATTGTAAAGCAACTTTTTCTTCTTGATTTTTAACTTTTTTGTGAAGAGTTTCACGTAATCTTTGTTATGGGATCTCCCTTAACTGTCTCCTCACACATTTCTTTCTTTTTTCAGATGAAGATGATAATGAGGAAAAAGAAAATCGTGTTGCTTTAGGAGAGGGAGGTGCGAGTGGTGGTCTTGTGCCTGGAAAATCTCTAGTCTTTGCAGCCATGGAATTGCTCATGTTTATCCTGGTACGACACATGCCCCATTTGAGTTCAAAAGTGTCTGATTCTCCAAGTCACATTGCTGCCAAATCCCACCTCTCTGAGGAAAGTGCTCGTCTTGTGGCTGCCACCATTAATATTCTGTCTGAACTGCCTTCTCTCTGTTCTCCAGCAGGTAAGGTATTGTAACAGCATATATGTAACAGAATATGTGAGTAACCACTAGGTTACTCTAGTGGGAGTGCCATGAGGATATGATGCTAAAAATAAACTGTAAATATATTGTAATGAGATGCTTTAAGTGTCATCTATTGATAAGTATGTTTAGGTTGTAAACTAAATTAAGAATTCAGGCTTTTCCAGGAAATTATTTGACTATAAATTTTGCATGTATGCTGCAAGTTTGCTGAGGAAATTAGCTCTGTATAACTCTGATTTTATTGTTGGGTTTTTTTCCCTTTTTTCATGATTTTGAAACATTTTGGCAAATTTTAATCATATTGTAGAAGAACACAGGAATCTTTAAATTCCTGAAAAGTTCATAAAGCAGCATCTGTATGAAAAGAGAATCTTGCTGAGAAAAAAATCAGTGCAATTCAGCTGCAGTACACTTGGTTTTGCAGCCGTTGGCTGTCAGTCATTGCAAATGTGACTCTAACCTAAATGGAGCTTTCTTCTGCCCCGAAAGACTGTCACAAAGGATATGTGTAAACAAGGGTAATTGCACTGAGTGAAGTTCAGGGGTAAAGGACATAGTTCCATGGGAAGCTGCAGTCTTTGAGTTTTGCTTTTCAGAGAACAAATTGCTTTAAGTGTTGTCTTGAGGATCTTTGGAAAGTTTCACACACTGATATAGATAATGTATTTGGACAAAGTCATACTCAAAAGACAGTATGGCCTGTCTTCAAACAGACAGTTTGTGTCTTGCAATTCTTTAAGGAACAGTAGATTTTGAGTTGATCTGGAATCCTACACTGTTTTTATTTGATTCCTAGTTCTTTTTCCTTTTCTTTTTTTTTTTTGAGGGGAGGGCAACGGGGAGAAGGGTGCACTAAAAGAATAACAGTAATACTTTTGTGTTGTCTGGAGTGAAGGTGTGCCTCCCAGCATTTAACAAGTGGCTACTAAAAATAGCTCAGATACTACTAGTAGTCTACAGAGACTGATAGAGTCTGGGTTTTTTTCTCATTCAGAAGATGTAGCCAGCTGATAGGTGTAGGGAAGTGGGGATAGCACATGCACAAACATTTGTGTTAATTGAGCCTTTGGATGTAAGGGAAACTAAACAAAAAGAACTCATCACTTTCTGTGATCCAGTGGTTTTTTGTCTTCCTCTTTCTTTCAAATATGAGCATCTTACAGTCTTCATTGGACAAGATCCTGGGCAATCTGATCTTCAAGAATTGCTGCTTTGATAGAGGGAGTTAAACTAGATGACCTCCAGCAGTCCCTTCCTGTCATAATTGTTCTACTTAATGTATTTATCCTTACAGATTCCCAGAACTGGGAACATGACAGGATTTATGTTTCCACAGATGTGGGAAAATGAGGTATAGAAAAGATACAGAAAGACACTTGACTGTCTCAAGTAACCTGCAGATTGATATTGTGTGCCTAAACCCAATAGCACCCTTCTTTCAATCCTGCAGGGGCTTGAAGTCTACATGTGTTCTTGAAACTCCTACAGCTTCTGCCCAGGATGTGAGACACACAGATATCTTCCTTACTTTGCTCTGGGGCTTTTACTACACACCATCTTCCTTGGAAGGTGCTATGACTTGCTTTGGATACCTGTTTCCAGGCCTCTTACTCTTGTTGTTTAAAGAACCCTAGTGATATGCAGATCTTGCAAACAATCTGCATGACGTACCATGTATCACATGCCCTGTAGGACAAAGCTTTAATAGCTGAATCATCATTCCTGAGTTGACATCAACATTTCAAGCGTTGGCTTGTATGACTTGTGTTAAGATACACTTCAGTAGTACTGATGAATGAATTTGGTGATAAAATGTTGAATGGCATGTGTCACTTGTTACCTGAATTGCAGGTTATCTTGGCATGTCCTTTGTTTCCAACCATATATATGCATATTGGGAAAGCCAAAGATGTTATCTACCACACTTCAGAAATTCTATTTTATCTTTTTTTTTTCTTTTTTTTTTTAGGGTGTATGACAATCTTACCTACTATCCTATTTCTGATAACAAGAGTATTGAAAGAAACAGCAGTAAAATCGGCAGATAACCAGGTCCCACCTCCAGTCAGTGCAGCCCTTCAAGGGATAAAAACTATTGTTACTCTTCCAACAGTCAAGACTGATGAAACTCAGAAACAATGGACAGGTCTTATCCGTAGCACTCTGGCATCTATCTTGGAAGATTCTCAACCTGGTAAGTAGTTTCTCATTGCAGCAGAGTTAAAATTAAAGAGAACTGGGTTTTGTAATGAAAAGGCAAGTATGGTATCTGCCTATAATTTTATGTAAGACCTAAGTGCAGAGAGCGTAACTTATCAGTTGCTAAACAGATTGTGTTGAAGAAAAGCACAACATTGGCTTTAATAAAATACAGTTGCATCTCAAGAGTTCGCATCCCAGATTTGTCCTTGTTTGGTCTGTTTTCTTTGACAGTGTTGATCATAACCTCCTGTTAGAACTTTTCTCTTTTGCAACTCATCGTGCAGCCCTGCCTTTCTCAGGTTTTGCACTTGCACAATTCATATAGTCTTTAATGACAGTAAGTGTTAAAGTTAATTGAGTGTGAAGACAGCAACAGATAATTGTGGCAAGGTTCGGACTGAGCAGGATACTCACAATACTGTTACAAGCTTTCAGTGGCGAGAAAGAAATCTTACCTCTTCCAAAAAAAACCCTGTTACTCACCAGCAGGATGGATACTGTGTCCCTTCAGAGAACTGCAGACTACTTCTCTTGGTTCACATAGGTGCTTTGCCTTGCCCTTCAAAAAGTAAAAAGATGTACAGTCTCATCTGCATAGTTGGCAAAAGAGAGACACGAAGATTTGCCATTTGCATAATGGTAGTTCAGGGAAAAAAACATCCCATTACATTGCCAAGGAGCCATTTGTAGAGAGTGAAGAGGTTGAATGGAGCTACTCATGTGAGAAATGGGAAGCGAGTAGGTAATTGGAAATGATTCTGAAATGTCCAAAGGGGGAGGATCACTAGATTTGTGTTAACCAAGCCAAACTTCTAATTTGATTTATCACATCAGCTCTTGTCTTCCAGCCTTTTGTTACTGTAAAGATTCCCCAGTCCCCCTTTCTAGAAACATTACTGACTTTAGGCTTTTTTGCTGACTTCAGAAATCTTTCTTGGTTCCTTACAAGAGTGTATGTTTTCCTTTTCCTTTCCAGTTTCTGTGAAGTGGGATAGCTCACACATACAAAAATCTAAGCAAAGTCTACTGCATACAATTTCAACTCTCATCATTCAATAAAATTTAAACAAGCTTAAATTTAAATAATGTAAGGAAAGTTTTCACTTAAAATGCTTGGAGTGGTTTTTTTGAAGTGAAGTTTCACATCATGGTTAAGCCAATTGAGTGACTGGCTGACATCTATAAAGGGCAGTCATGCTGTTTTTCTTTTTTGCTGACTTTATACATGCTGTTTCTTTGTGCCTCTCAAAGGAGAACAGAACCAACCTGGCCAAGCAAATCAGCAAAACAGTGTTTTTATATATATTATAATAGTTTATATAAAAATATACATTTTTTTCTTCCTGTTGGAAATTCATGAATGAGATCTGTGAAGACAGAGCTTGTGCACAGAAAAAAAAAGGATGATGGCAAATACAGGCTATTTGAAAAGCAAGAAATGTTAAACTAGTACTGTTCCTATTGGTGACAGGTGGCTGTCAAATCAACTAGTCTTTTCTGTGAAACCTCATGTTAAGTAAAAGTTGTTGCCATGCTGGATATCAGTTCCTTACTCTGCTGTATCAGCTGGATAATAAAACTAAAATGAGATAAATCTTTAATGGAGAAAGGATCTAAAAAAATAGACTTTTTTTCTCTTGTTTGCGCATTGAAAACAAATAATATCACTTGGTCCAAGAAAGTGTGGGTGATGATGTTTTCCTTAATACTTAAGTTTCAGAAAGTTTGACTTTTTTTTATTAAAACAACTATTAGAATAGAGTTGTTCAGCTTTTTGTCAGTCACAATCAATAATGACAAGGTGATTTTGTAATAATTACATGCATGTGTAATTGCAAATAATTTCAAGTACCTATATTTCCTTTTTGACTTTATCTGTGTTCACTGTCTTTTATTAAGTAAATTCTAAAGCCTTTTGGAATAAGCTAACAGCATGTTTGATTTTGTTTTTCAGAAGCCTCTAAACCTATTCTTGATGAAGTAAGCATACTTACAGCTATTGCTCTCTTCCTTTGGTCAGCAAGCACGGAAATAATTGGAGTGCAGTCTTTACAAAACGGATGTATGAACAGATTTAGAAGTGCATTAAATTCCTGTGATCCTTGGGTAAGATCGTGTTATGGGACTGTGAATGATATATAGACAACAAAAACTAATTGTCATATATTTAACACATTTCCTGAATGATGCCTTTACTTCAGGGACAGATACTGCATGTCAAAATAATTAGAATTTTCGACCGTACCTTATTGAAATTCATGAGCAAAATAACCCAAACTAAGTGCTTCTAGATAAAGTGTGTTCATAGCCTGGTGCCAGATTCTTGACTTGGAGCTTCTTAAAAGAGAAAACCAATCTTTGGTATGTGAAATTTTTTCAAATGAAAAGGTTGTTTACCAGAGAGTGGCGACATCTCTACATTATGCTGATCTTTTATAATACAAATTAACCATTTTTCTGTGGATAAAATTACAGCCCACATTTTTGATCAATTTCATAATTGTTTGTGCAAAACCTGTACTTATTTTACATGTTCATACAAAATTCAGTTTAAGAGCAAAAATATAATATTGTAGTTGCCATCAGAGCATCTACAGATTGTGAATCATTTGTCTCTTGATTTCACTTCTGCCCTTCGGCTTGTCTTTATGAATTATCTTCTGAATTATTTTCTCATTAAATAGCAAAGTTAAAAAGTTGTAGACTGACTTTGTTCAAGCAAGCTAATGCACTGTATGAATAGTTAAGCTTAACTTTTCCAGCCATGTATGTATCAGACAAGTCTGCAGGTGGGAGCTAAAGAGAAAAATCTGTGGTGTTTCCACAAGCAAGCACTGCAGAGATTCCTGAGAAAAAAACAGGCAAAAAATACGGATATGTTTAGGGTCACAGTGAGGCATGTAAAATCATGTTCAGACTGATAATTCTCCGTAGCAGGGCAGGTGTTTTCCAGCATGAACATAAAATTCAGTTTGTTTTGAAGCCTTACTTTGGATGGAAAGCTACTTAAAATTGTAGTGCATGAATGGAAATGTCAGTTGTATTAAGCAGAAACTTTTATGTCATGATCTCTCTCCAGTCTGTATAAACACATGAACTGTGAGAGAAGTACATTTTTGCCCACCACCCTGCTGGAAAGCTGCCCGTCAGCTGGAACTTACCACTATTTTTGTAACTCACAGAGAAAACTTGGACAGCAGCCAGTCTGTGTCCATTCTCCTCTCGCTAATGTGCAGTACATATACTCTGTGATACTTCTTGTGTGTTTATTCTAGGTTTTTAAATTTATAATACTCATTGTTGCAGTCAATAACTAGACACTTGTTTGTAATAAAAGCCTTGAACTGATTAAAAAAAAAAAAGTCTTCTAAAGAACTATTACTGCCTCATAAGAAATACAGGAGTAGTTTTGAAAGTGTTGCCACCTGCAAAAGTCTGAAAAGGTTCAATATCATGTATAATAATAACCAGAAGTCTGGTGAGCTCCATTCCATTTTGTTCCAATTAGATAACTCACTTGAGAGACCCAAGTGTCTCAATGATAATGGACAAGTTTTACATGGGAGTGTACCTTATATGCTTTGAAGAAGCCCTGATTTTACCTCACAGGAGTTTTTGTAGATTTCTGCGAATGCAGAATAGTCAAAAGTTTTGTACTACAGAAATGGAGGAAAATAAACTCGGATGAAATTCTTCTGTCAGATGCAGTCATAAAATGCATTTGAAATACGTATGCAGTTAAGAAAATACTTCTGCTCTTTATTTCAAAGGCTAATAATCTTTAGCATGATAACAAGCTAATAAGAAATGAAGTTTAAACAACATAGACAGAAAGGGAAGGGAATTATTAGGAGCGGTATGGAGAGATAGAGGAAAAATTTTTTGAAGCAGGTCAAAGATGATGCTGAGTACAATGCTAAGGGAAAATGTTCTTCTGTGGAGCTCTGTTAGAGCTACCATACAAATGATATTAGAATAAGTGTTATTTCTTCTGACCTTAAATTTGAATTGTATAGAACACCTGCAGCTGTGTACTAGTGACCTGAGCTGCGTAACTTCTATTTTCTTACCATTAGTTTTTATTATCTGTGATTTTTATTCAATAGTTTTATGTATATATCTGTGTTTTCAGTGACCCTCAGATCTTCTAACAGATCACTGTGTCCAGTAGTACTTCCTCTAGAACATTTCTGTTCAGCATGTGCTCAATAACTCATCCTGTTCAGACTTTAGTGCAGTTTGAAAACATGTGCAATGTTTTATCCTCTTATTTGGTGTGGGGTTTTACTTTTCCAAAGTTCTGGGTTATTTGTGTGCAATTTTGAAGGAAGATCGTTGTACACCCAAAAAAAAGTATTCATAAGTTCATCTAAACAAGATCATCAGTGAGTTATTTTCCCAAACCTTGGCATTAATAATCTCTGCTTTCTGCAGAGAGGGAGGAGGAAAAAAGAAAAATAGAAGGAAGACAAGGAGAGCATTCTGTGATCCAGTTCACGTATGGCTACCTGTATACTCCTATGCTACTACCAGTACAAGATGGGGAATGAGAAGGAAGGATGGACAGGCCTGACACTTTTGGCTACGGCCTTGATTTGAGTTAGAGCAATAAGATCACTTTGATCTGAGTAATTTTTATGGGCTGTGTTACCCTTCTGGGATTGGAATAGAATATCATGATTTTGAAGATTCATCTGCTATTAGAACTGGTGGTTCTGAGACTTAAAGATGTAGTTCACTGTGAACCAGTGTAACTGACTTGTATGACATTAACTATGCCTTTATTTTCTCTGAGTTTATATTATTACTGCTTTTTAGTACCTGCATGTTCTTTCTAATTGGCCTTCCTTTTATTGAAAACTGGGCTAATACTGTTTTAGCAGATGGACTGCGTTGCTGCTTTCCTCTTATTCAGTATGTTTCCTTCCCCTTTAGTAGTCTTTTTTTTTATTATTATTATAGATAACAGTTTATTAGAATTCTGTGAGTTAACAAATAACTTTGAGGACAGTGTATTTATCTTTGATTTGATTAGGTTCAAGCCAAGTGTTACCAGCTTCTGCTTTCTGTGTTCCAACACACCAATCGTGCCCTGTCAACTCTGTATATTCATTCATTGGCCCCTATCATGGTTGAGAAGTTGAAAGCTGTGGAAAGGAGCCGCCCGAACAACAACCTGGAGCTTTTAGCAGTCCAGGAAGGAATTAAAGTCCTTGAAACTTTGGTCGCCCTTGGTGAGGAGCAGAATAGTAAGTATTTATGTTTTCTAGAGAAATGTGTAATGCTAAAATAGAATATTGAACATCAGAAACTTGCAGTTAGGAACTTGATGGCGTAGTCACAAACAGAATGTGTGCGCAACATGCTTTTGTAATTACAGTACTAGAACTTTTGTATACATGAACTTGGATAGCACATACAGTATGATACACTGCAACCTTTGCATTTCTGGTGATTGCAGGAAAAAAAATTCTGAACATGAACTGCAGTAATGAGCGATGTTTTATTCTGTTTGGAAATGAGTAGTTCACACTGTTTAAGTTTGCTTTTTCTCATTGTTAACTTCTACTTATTTTAGTGGACTTCTATCAGATTGCTTCCACCAGCTCAACAAAGTTTATCTAAAAAGCCCAAAACGTTGAACAGTACTGGTCAGAGTATCTTAATTGTAAATGAAACCTACTGTTTGCTTCAGTAGATAGAATACACAATTTATAATTTAAGTTAGTTATTCTCTAACTGGAACTATGTGCATTCTGAAGACTTACTCTGCAGATATTTGACTTCAAATGCTGATAAAGTTCCTTGTAAAAATATTACTGTTAGTTTTTTGTGGGATTTTCTTTTGCTTGGTTTTCGTGGTTTGTTTATTTTTCCCTCAGCATACTCTTTGTTGGTATTTCTTTTTGTTGATGATAAAATACTAAATTTGTTGAGCCCCATTCTGGTTTGGGCACAGATGTTTGAAAGACATTTAAAATGAGAGAGAAACTGAAGCAAATGACGAAACAGAACATCCGATTTTTGCTGTCTGGAGACAATCACCCCATTGAGTATGAATTAGTCAAAACCTTTAGGGGAAAATAATCTACAGAATTTTAGATAAATGAGTTACCATTAATGTTTAAGTTCTTTGAGCTTAAAATGTACAATTAGCCTATTACACATTTCGAAGGCATACTTGTAGCCTTTCTAGATACAAAAATTTACCTTATTGTTTAAGTTCAGCTGCCTTTTTTGTTCTGAAGGTCAACCCTTTTGATCCCTTTGCCATTTTGAGCTTTGGCCTCATTAGGTCATGCTAGGCCAAGTATATCTGCGGTGCTAGTTTTTGGATTAGAATCTTCCAGATTAATATAATGTAATATAACAGCAGAAAACTGTCCCTGACTTTTTTGTGAACATTTGCATACTAATAGTGGTTCACTTTATGCTCACTGGGGAGGCCGATACTCAGATTCGATTGAATAACGTTTCTGTCTTCCTGAAAAGTGTTTTGAAACCCTTTAATATGGTAGGCACTCTACATTTTATAATCTTTATCAATGATCTGCAATCAGATGGTGCAAAAGCATCTTTAAATAAGTGTCAGGATCAACATAACTGTAATGAACAATAATAGAAGTCTGAAACACAATTCTGGTAAGAAAGGTTTGAGTGATGAAAGGACAGGAAGACATCTACATTTAAGTTGGATTTTACTTGATAATTTTTTAATTACAGTGTTTATTGTCAGTTTTGAAAACAAGATTACCCTTATCAGTCTAGTAACTGATAAAATTATTTTTATTTTGTTTTATTCTCTGATATGGCAATTTTTTTTTCTTTCACTTTTAGGAGTACAGTTGCTTGCCCTTCTCGTTCCCACTCTGATCTCCTATTTACTGAATGAAAATGCCTTCGCTTCTGCATCTGCAGCATCTAAGGATCTTCACGAGTTTGCACTTCAGAATCTAATGCACATTGGTCCACTTTACCCACGTGCTTTCAAGACAGTAATGGGAGCTGCTCCTGAATTAAAAACACGTCTAGAAACTGCAGTCCGAGCAAGTCAGGCCAGCAAAGCAAAAGCAGCTGCTAGGCAACCACCACCCACAGTACATTCCACCCCAACAATTAAACTGAAAACTAGCTTTTTTTGAATTACTTTTATTATTTTTGGACCATTAAGTAGTCAGAAGCATTACATTATCCCCGCATACATGTCTAATTTTGTGTAATTTGTATGTGAAAGGCTGTCTAATGGAGCTTTGTGTAATTACTTGAAATCCATGCATTACAAGGGAAGTGGTGTTACTTGTGTTTGTATAGATTTTTAGGAAATTGTGATCATATTTATGAATTTCTGTTATAAATTATCCACAAAAAGGTTATTCTATATCTAAATACTTTTATTTATTTTTAAAAGCTCCCCCAAACCCTCCACTGGTTTTTGAAATCTGATGATTGTTATCCTACCATTGTGCCAACACACTAGCACAGTGGGGACGGAGGGAAGAAGAAAAACTGTTATGAAGTACTTACCCCGTACCGTGGGGAATTTCAAGTGTAGAAGTATGCATTTTTTCCTTTTAAAAACAAAGTAAGGAAGGAGATTGTTAGACTTTGTAGACCATCTCAGCTTGCATGAAAAAAACACAACAAAAGAGTTGAAAATTTTCAGCCTTTCTCAAAGTGAATGATCAAGCATGCTGTCTTAATGAGTTGTCCTTATTTATGTGGTGTATATTGCTTTCAAATTAGTTTCCATGCTTGAAAATGAATAAAGGATGCAAAGAATCTAATCCCCTATCTCTTCTAAGATAAAATTTAAGGGAATGCATTGGATATTGAGTTTATAAAGAGAACTGCCTGCTATCTGCATTTTTGTAGGTGTAGATTTTGGCCCTTGTAAGGTGCTCTGTGTTTGCAGTCTTCCTGTTCTGCCAGCCACTGGTTGAGTATGTGATGAGTCAGTGCTCTGCCCTTTGTCCAGACTCATATTTGACCTTGCTGCAAGATTTTAGTCTCAGTGAATATATGATACCTGTAATCCTTGATAAAGTTTGCAAGCAGAATTACTGGAGTCCTTTGAACCTCTACTGACTCAGGGGGCAGAACACCAGTGAGAGTCAGGCTCCTCCAGTTTCTCCTTCCCCTACCAGGCTTTTCTTTTTTGAAAAGCACGTGACTCCCCTTGCATCTGGGTGAGTCTGGTCTGCAGATTTTGGAGCTTAGAGCTCAAGTGCTGTGATTCCCAATGTCTGTCTGCTGCCAGGCCTCGCCCTTCCTATTGGCAGAAGTGTGGAACCATGTATTTTCTTGTGTATACAAGACTGACTTACGTGAATTTTTTGACACAGCTGTTGAATTTATGGGCTTCTATAGGGATCTTTCTATACATTTTGCTTTAGAGAGAGAAGCTACATAACTAGAGGCCTCAGCTAGGCCTGTTGAGTTTCATCTCTGATGTTTTTCTGGATACTCTGTAAAAATTGGGTATTTCAGATGCATCAACCTCAAATATAACAAAGGGATAGTAAATAGAATTGATCAGGATTCATAGCTGGTTGAGATATTTTTAGATCGCTATTTTTGCATAGTCACTTGCCTCTGGGCTTTCTATTTTCCTGTAAGACCTTATCTAATATCCCTTTGAGTACCTATGCAAAATGGTCAAGACAATGCTCTTCTGCCCTATTGCATTTGCTGTGTGCAAAATATTTAACATAAAATCAGAAAAGCTTTCATTTCACAGTGAACATTTTAATACTAAAGTGATGACAACAAATGGTGCATCCTCTAATCTCTCAATTTTTTTTCATAAAGCTGTTAACTTCTAAGTCTTGTTCCATTGTTCTATAGGAGTAAAGATATATGTGGAAGTAAAAACAATATGCTGTACATGAGGAAGAAAGTAGTTTCACTACTTTTTTCATCTTAGTATGAGTAGTGGGAATTAAATTGATTAAAATATATCACTTTCTATTATGTGTTTCCAGCATTACAAAGCTGTATTGCTTAGAAGAAGTTCTAAATCTGTTTAACATTTGAGAGAAAGTATTATGGAAACTCTTTCAGTACAAAATTGAAGACAAACATTTTGCAAGTAAAACTAAGAAAACAAGTTTATAACCTGTTTAAATTTCTTCCTCCCCACCAGATAGTCTAGTAAATAATGACTTCTTGGAATGATTTTAACTGTAATCAGGTTTTGTTTACCTTTTTATCTGAGCACTTTTAAGTTTTGGTTAGACTCTAGTTGACAAGATGTCTGAAAACTCAGAAAAGGAGGGGGGGAGGGAAGTGTAGCAATCAAGCATAACTAAGTCAGTAGAAAAAGAGAAATAAGTTAGCAGAAGGGAAAATGGTACTAGATAGAAGTAGAGGGATAGAGAAGGGAGAGGTTTTTCTTTGTATATTGTGTGGCTGTCTACAACATGCACAACTCTCATTTGTATACATCCTTTCCCAGTTTAGTCCTCATTTGCTTCTCTGCTTACTCCTGATACTAAAGGTATAACCGTGTGGTTTTACATAATATTTTGGCACCAAATTTCATTTGATTAAAAAAACCCTGAAGTAAATCAAAATGTCTGTAGTGCTTATTGTTTGTCACTCTCTTTTTGTTGTTTTTCTTTGTCAGATTTTTTTAAATGTGCTCCGTTTCCCTTTCACATCTTTCATCTCTCTCTGCTGTTTCCTTCCTTTTTGAGTGAGCCTTGTTGTTCTACTCCAGTAGCACAGTCCCTCTTCAGTGCTTTCCCTTTGGTTCCCCTCTGCTCTCTGGAAGCTTCTTTAGTTGTCTTTCCCAAAGAGGTCGCCCACCAGCCACAGCTCTAACTCCGAGGGCAGGGTTATGAAGCAGGCAAGTTCGGTTTTGGAGCAGCCAGAAGGAAACAGGAAACACAGCCTGAGTAAGCAGTGGGGCACTCCTTGCATGCCCGGGGCATAGCGAAGGACACGAGAGTGGCACAAGCAGGGCCCATTCTCAGGGCCTGCAGGAACCTCGTGGAAGCTCCTTGGTGGCATGTGCCATCTGTCACACACCTGTGGTACAGCCTGTTGGAGCAGTGTGTTTGTGTCTCCAGTAAGGCTCTGGTGCTGGTCTGCACATGGCATGGAAAGCAAGCCCAACTTCGTCTCTTTATGCCTTGGGGAGAGGGGGAGAGGGCAGTGCTGCCAGCAGTTTGTGCCCTCTGCCTCACAGGATCTTGTTTTCCCTTTCCTCATGTGGGAACAGGCAGCGTGGCAATTCCTGAAAAATTTTGTTGCCCTCTTCCAGCATTCGAAACGATGTGCAAGAAACCCCTGCA